CCATCCTTCTGTTTCCTTCCTTAGGTGGCACGTAATCTGCCTAGTTCAGATTCCAGCCCAGTTGTCCCTCTGTCAGTGTCCAGAATGAKCTTGTTGCCCATGGAACACTGGGGTTCAGTATAGACCATTCTTTTTTTAATTGATATATATATATTTTACATTAACAAGAAAAACTTGCAGAATAATGTTTTGGGGGCTTTTCTTACCTAAATCCATATAAAATATGTTCCCAAAACAAAGGTTGCTCTCCAGAACACTGTCTTTGACTCACTTTAAGAGAGTAGTTTCCAGCTAGGCAAAATGGATTTGTAAAGTGTATCTATAATAAATAAATAAATAAACCATTAGCAACAAATACAATCAAAGCAATTAGCATAAATTACATCCCCGTGTCATTTAAACCAGCTAGGCTCATTAGACATTTTTCAGAATATTTCAGAATATTTCAGAATATTTTCAAATTCTAAATTTTACAAAAAAACAAAAGCCTTACTCTGAGCAGTTTGGAATAAAGCAGTGCAGAACAAGAAGTTTCTTGCACCATCCTGATCATTAAAAAAGAAAAAAAAAAAAGAAAAAAGAAAAAAAAAGAGTGCAAGGAAGAGAAATAGAGATTAGTCCTATTATTAGTCCTATTAGCCCTAAAGGAGAAACATATATCCTAGCTGCATTCACCAGAAAGATCCTCATTTACCTCCTTGGGGCACCTAAGATAAACCACCAAGMTGAATCTCTGCAATAAACTACCATTCCTGAGCTTTTACAGTGTTCAAATTCTCTCAAACAGGAACACCATCAAAATAAAGGAACATTCCCCACAGCATAAGCATTTTCTTTCTATTCAGCACGCCTGAGAATAAAGTTTTACCATCACTCACTCCTAGTTTCCCCCAGAATTCAAAACCGGTAGAAAAGCAGCTCTCAATTCCCTCCCTTCTCCATCTAAACGCTGCCTGTGTAAGCGCCTCCTCTAAGTAACATTCTCTTCCTTCCGATCTTCAGGAATGTTTTACCACTGATTTACCACTGACTACTTCAATGGTCTATACTTGAATTATTTTTGAAAATGGGGAGGAAAAATAAGCACTCCTCAAATGGTCGGTATATAACTGCAAAGCATTAATAAATGAATCATATTTGCAGTTACTAGAGTTCATTTTTCTTCAGATGTCCCCAAATCATGGCAACTTGTTAATGATAATGGGTAGGTAATAACATTTCTAATTTCCTTGTACATTCCACTTTGCCATTGAGAACAACAGAAGAGAATGCCTAGAGAATAACAGAAAACTCACTACCAAGTATTTAGGTACGAACCCTTTCCCTCATAATCTTTGCTCAATAAAAGCGTTTTTGTTTTTTCTCCTGCTACTGTTTTTTCTCCTACTACTAAGTGATTAAATATGTGACTCAAAAGCACCTTTCACTTCATGAATATTTTTCAAAAATATATTCTCCAGAATGGTCAAGAGTGGGAAACCCAACCTAAGTTAGAGAAAAGAATACCAATTTCCCACTCCACATTTGAAACTTTCTGTTCACTTCCTATGTTTCATGCTGCCACTTTGTTTACTATATTGCTATAGTCATAAATGTCACAACTCAAGATGCCTTATGTCCTCTACCAGGACATACATCTATGAGGGTATTAGGTAATAAACCTGATCACACAAGCATAATCACAAGCTCAACCTCTTGAGGAGTGTATGATGGGGTAGAACTTGAAAAAAAAAATCAATTTAAGTGAATGTTTCCTACAGCATCCCTRATTGGTGGCTAAATTTATTTGGCAGTAAATTTTTGTATAAAGACTAGCCTCTGCATTTAGAAATGGGGCTTGTCCTTTAAATTCTTACTGGAAAAATGAAAAGAAAACTAAAAGTCACATGTGGAGCAGCACTGCTTCACACGATGGACAGGGCACTGACTGTCACACCAGAGCATACTCTTGTGTCTATATTCTTACATAGTTTATAGTCATACTCGTTTAACTATATTTAAACAAAATCTTTCATGCCTCATCCTGCTCTCCAAAGACTCAATAAAGCACCTCAGTGGATCCAGCTTTTTCATCACTGTTCACTACAGAAACTGTCACTGTTTCACTACAGCRACAAGGATCTAAGAAGTTGCCTGCCTGTGGAAAGGCAATCAATCATGCAAATACATGGAGTCTAACTTTCAATTTTTTGGATGCAGATTTGTCCAGTTAACAATCAGAACATCAGATATYTGTAGAGTCATACTGCAAGCTATATGAGCTGTGCTTCAAATTCTAATTGTATGGTGGAGCAAAACATGGGTCTTAATTTCAAATGACCTAAGTGAAGTGCACTAACAGGTCTAGACTATCAGTAAAGGTAAAAGACTAATATTATAAATAATATGGGCAAAGCCTTACTATTCAGCAGAGGCATRTTCTCTTGCAATCTAATTCCAAGTATTGAAATATATTTACCTAAATGCCTACAATTAATAAACTACATAGTTTTATTGGTAAGGCTTTAATTCGGGAAATTCYATTTGCAAGCACAACTTGCAGAACAGGACAGCAACTTCAGGAATGAAGGACAGGTGCAATAAACTATGAACGAGGCAAAGGACACGGGTCATCAGGACTTCTCTCCAGTTTCTTATGTCTTCTGCTGTACTGCTGGAGTGTGGGAGTTACAGAAAGGAATGCATTCCCAAGCTTTTTTTTTTTTTTTTTTTTTTTTGGTGGTGGGGACTAAAATGATTTGATAAAAGGGAGGGAACCTCCCAGGCAGTAACAGTCTGTTAGCCAATACTAAACTAATTACTTTTCAGTGTTTTACTAAGCAGCTTTGAGTTGATTCAGCTTTCAAAAGCATCTTATGAGATGCCTGTGCAGGCAGGGTTATGTGTAATTCCAGGGCAGGGGGTTGGAGTGGCAGTGCCCCTGATGAGGAAATGTAGGCATAACTGTGGAATAACATCTACATAAATTATAGACTGAGGAAGGATTTAGAGGAGAAAATCCTTGCCACACTGCAGGCTCACTATTACCTCCTTGAAGGTTTGCAAGAGCTAGTTCACATAAAACACACCACATTACACCTATTTTCCCATCTTCATCAAGGTAGTGGGTAAATTACTGTCCACAAAATGATTCACAATGTTTACCGGATGCTCAATTTCTGACAAAGTCAAACAAGTCAGAATTTGAAAAAATTAAACGAAAGACAGTCTTAGACCAGCTTCACTCCACTGAAAATACAATATTTTGTTGTAGGCTTTAGGGAGATTCCTAACTCAGTTCCTATTGACTGTTGAACTTAAACCAATGGATGTAACAAGGCAAAATCTTTTAACAGATTTTTTCCTATTACATCAAGGAACATTTTTTCCTATCATGGAAGTAATTTGGAGCTTGTATGCTTGTAATTCCAGGGTAGCTTAAGATTCTGCATTATAGTTTRTCCTTACTGGCATAGATAAATTAAGAATATCGATGTCGTTATACCAACACATGTATGATTCTCCAAAATAATGCTTATTAATTTATCTTTACTTACAAATACATCTCTAAATCTTACAAAAACAGTTTGTTTACAGTAAGCTTTGCATTCAGCTGAAACTCATCAAGTATTTTGCCACTATATATATAAATTCTAGCTTGTAGGATCTTTCTGAAGTAATTTCTCATATGCAAAACTCATTACGAAATTTCATCCCATACTCTCTCGAAATAAACACGGGATTGTTATCTACATTCTTACAAAACAAAAGGTCCCAAGGATCTATTTGTCTTTGAATAGTGGCCCTCTTCTTTTGCTATACTAGTATACAAACTTTATGGCTATGAATAGAATTATATTTCCATATTGGCTTGTATAAAAAGTTTCTACACACAAATCCCTTCAGCAATATCACAGAATATTTTTGTTCTAGGCCCTAACATGTAATTCCTTGGAATATCTGCCATATAAATCATAAGAGTGTGCAAATGAGACACACACTTTACGAAACGGCACTTCACCTCTAGGTCATCACTATTTCTTTATAATGGTTAAATACATTACTGATAATACTACAGATTGTTTTTTAATTGTTAAACCAAATCACTGTTTTTTATAGAGATGATGAAGAGATGACAGAGTCTTGTTAGTAAAGACAGATTTTAATGTTTTCTTCATAATCTATGAAAATGAATACGCTGAAATTTTAAAGATTCAGAAGGAAATAGCAGTATTTAAATTATTTTTCATCGTATATTATACTCACATCATTTGATACATTATATCAAATGTGAAAAGCTTGAAAGAAAAGTTTTGCCAAAAAGTTCTCAGACTTTTAGACAAGAATTTTAATTTAAAAATAACTTACAACAAGGAAAATACTGTTCCCAGTGAGGTCCCACTGTCTTTAATTAAACTAGGTACATTCARTGAGTATGTAAAGCAAAATAGACTAAAAACAAGCATAAAATTGTGTCTGAAGCTGTGAAGACAGTATTATGTGGTATGATCATGTGGTATAAGGGAGAGCATCTTCAACTTAAAATGCTGAATTCACGGGCATTCTCAGCCTGATTCTACATGTCTAGCTAACCTACACTTTTCAAAATCTGTATCTTAATAGACTTTTTTTGTAGCCTCAAAAATGGTAAGTCCTAGATTCATTTAATAGTCCAAATGTCAATATTCAAAAAATGTATTTAATTAAAATATATTTAACAAAAAAAAATCAAACTGTTAAGCAAATGGTAAAACCCACTATGAACATGCACTCCCTTGTTTTTGCAATAAATACATACATATATAGGCAGAGCTATATATTCTACAGCTAATAGTCATTTTCTTATTTGTAAAAACTTTAAAATGTATATAAAATAGAACCCCTCATAACAGACAAACCTTTCAGATATTTTAATGAAAGCACAGCAGACTGAACCCTTCAGTCTTTGCCTAGCAATGCTTTGCGTTTATAACATAAATAACAAAATTAAGTAAATATCAAATGTTTAAAAACTTTATTATTATTTTACTTTATACTCTGAGAATTTACTAAAGGTATTTACAAACTGTAATCACGTTTCACAGCAAATTCCAGTTGAAGCAGACTCCAGTCTGACAATATCTTACATTAAAAGTTAGGCTTTTCAGCAAGATAAAAATGTTTGTTTAACCTTTTTTTTATATATAAATGAATTCAGTRGTTCTCAAAAACACAATATAAATCTTTAAGGAGCATCTTTAAGGCATCTTTAAGGAGCACATTAGAAAAGCACTGGACAGAAATGAATTCTGACTAAATTATTTCTGTTTGAAAAGGATTTACGTACTTCTTTCTACATACATCGATATTTTAAAAGGAAATTTGTAGAATAAAACCTCTACTAAATTTGTGAAAGATTACATTATGAATATAATCGATGAGACTCTATCCATCCAAGGACAAAGCATACAGTTTGGTGAAAGGAAACTCATTTTCATTCTTCGGACAAAACTGTATACGCARCAGCACTCAGTTCCACTGGCATGAGCAGTCTATAGGCTCCTGAATGACATACATGATTTCAGTGCCATTTCCTGAGCAGTAGAGAGGCACAGTCAGATTGCGTGTCCCAGTTTCTCGACAACATTTACAGAATCTTAAATGGCTGTCAATATTAACATTAAAAATCGTTGCAGACGGGCATTTTCCATCGCAAGAAGCCACATTAACCTGTTAATAAAACAACTCAAGTTAGACATTTCGGGTTTTGTTTTCAAGATATAACACTCCAAAATTCTTTGTAATCAGAATCCATTTTAACATTTGGGAAGGATTCTTTATCTCTAAAATTCATTTGTACTAAATGTAGACACATTTCTAATGAACTTTATTTGAACAGAGGACTACTGATTAGTTATGTATTCCACCTTAACCTTGAGCAAAACTTTGTTTCTGTGGATCCCCCCAAAAAATATAAAAAGTAGAATTACAAATGACTAACTTTTAACAAAGTGGAAAACACATTCTTTTCATGTTCACTGTTGTAAAGCAACGTTATTCTAAAGAAAACGAGGGAAAGTCATCCCTTCTCTTTGAAGGTTTGAGAGGGAAAGTGCATTAGCACCTCCTCCTTTATGACTATGTAGTTTCTTGAAAAGAAGTTTCTCAGAAGACTTCCGGAAGTCTCAGTATTTTGGGTCAATGACTTTTCCTTTAAGTACTAGATGAGAAAAACAGTCATTCTTGGGATATATACGAGGTGTTATAGACAACACTGCAGTTGAGAAATAAAGTGACTTAAATGGAGCCATAAACAAGGTGGATGGTGAACTTACAACTTTCAGAGACATGCAAATGAAGGAGAATACACMTTAAGGCCTTTAAGGAGGAATTTACCTATGTTTCCATCACATCTTAAGGGGAAACTTTATGCTCTTTTTTTTTTTTAAGCAGGATATTACTTCATGGTGAGGAGTTCAGCTCCTTTGTCAATAATAAGCAATTACACTGTGTACTTTTCATTTGGAGACAGATGTTTTTGCAGGTAGGAGGGCTCTGCCCTTCAGCCATATATGAGCCAAACCAGTTAATTTTATTCTACCCACAAGAAGGAAAACATTCCCAGAATGTTGTGAAAGGTCTGCTTTTGTGAAGATAGCATTTTATACTGCTTATTGATGGCTTTAATCCATTTTTAACACTTGATTTGGAACGCTGCAGGCACCGCATGAAATGCAGTTTGTTTGTTTTATGCTTACCGGGCTTTGACTTATACAGCCGCTTTTTCTTATGGTTGTTCTGATTGTCATTTTCTGACAAATCCTATCTTCCTTTTTACCTAATAAAACACAGAAAATACATATTGAATGAATGTACTTTCTGTGCTGTGTTAAATATTAAGAATTGAAGGCTATTGAAACAATTTTAATAATTATATACAATTTTCATTACTGTAAGAACTGAAGCCATTGCTTCTATAACATGGCCTTTAAAAAAAAAATCTCTCATTAATAAATACTTTTCGGAACTTACAGATCTTATAGCTGGTTTATATAAGAACAGCTGAGATATAAAAGCCCATTAAAACTAAGTAATACCAAAATAGCAATACACATATATCTACATAAATTAAGCAACAAGAAAGAAAATGGCTTAACAGGAAGACTGCATATATAAGAAGGATCGATTGAAGGATATTCTGCTGGATTAATAGAAATACTGAAAATAAGTACAATTTTGATCCTGTATTTTTGAACATTTCCAAAACACGACATGCGAGAAGTTGTGATTGCAAGCTGAGTTGTGACTGCAACCTTGACACTATTCTGATTCTTAAAATTTAAGTATAATTATATATGTTTTGATATCTTTCTCAGAACGAACAGTTTCAAGGAAACTTTGAAAGACGGAGAAGCAGATATTTCACAAGTATGATGCAGCTTTTACCACTCAGAACTGAAGCAGATAGTGTTCAGTCAGCACAAAGGCATTGGAGATTTTGGAAATACTGCATCTTCCCATACATTCTGGGAGATATTTTTTTTCAGTGTTTGAGAAATAAAGCTATCCAATGCATAATGAAAATCACAATACAACTCTGAAACAAATAAATGTAAAATCTTTCACGTTGCACTCCATAAGAGACTGTTAGTTATGACTGTGTAGCAGAAGTGATTTAGATCTACAGTTCATCTGTTGATCAAAATCAGCTACTAGGTTTGTTAGCATATGAAATAATAAGCACTATTTAGCTGAGTTTTTCTTCTCTTCAGCACCTGCCTGCATGGTCAGGTATATATTTTTTCCCCAGATGTGTGGTGAACACTCTTATAAAATTAGTGAGCTGTGAATAAGCAGCATCTTCTGCAATCAAAACTCCACTAGGTATCCCAAAATTAGCCTAGCTCTCCCACTTTCAGCTGTCTGAAAGATCGGCATTCARTGTGAGCTATGCTAGTTTTACTTGCTCTTAAGTAAGAAATCAAATTTTCTGTAACATTGCATATCATTAAAAGCAAAGATTTACGGTCATAATGCAATGGTTCTATAACATTCCTTAATTACTGGTGTAAAGAGTATATATTGACATATGGTTGTACTTTAAGGCTATATGTTTCTCCCCTCTTCCCCCTGCAACATTTTGCTAACTTCGTAAAACATATCATTTTTGACACAGAAGAAATACAGCATAAATCCATATCTTCAAAGATGAGATTCTCTATTTTAGGGCAAAGAAAGCTCAGCCATTAAATTCAGAGACATAGGATCTTATTTAGAATCTCTCATTAACAGTAATTTAGGATGATAGTATCTGTAAAAGTAACAATATTTCCTATCTACTATGGACAGTAAATTCATGTATAAAAAATTGATTTTATAAATGAAAATAGGGAGGAAGAACTGTGAGCAGCATATACTGTAAATGTATGAACCCAACTCTGACAGGTGCCGAGCAGTGAACTCTAGACAGGCTTTACGAAAACTCTGATTTGGGAGGCTAACGAGGGACCAGGATCTCTCAATACCAATGCCATTAACTACATGGTAACATTTAATGGTAGTGACAACTGTAAGCATATATACAAGCAGTGTTTACACTATTATTAAAAAAATAAGAAATTAATTATTAAAAATAATACCTGGTTCACAATTAATACTATCAGTAGGCACTACTGGACTAATGGCAAAGGGTAATACACCCAATCCAGAACCTGGCAGAATTATTAGGAATATAAGTTTCTCATGAAATATAAACATTTTTTATATAAATGACATTTCATTAATTCTTACACTGCCAACTGCCATTTTTCTTTTAGCAAAAGGTGAGAGGCTTTCCTGTTACTCTTCCGAATTTAGAAAGTCTGCAACTGCTTCAAGTCTCACTAAAGATGACCTAAACTTTATTAGTCTCCTCGTTAACACAAAACTGGAATCATGTTTCCTTGTAAACCAAACTTTTGCAATGAGTCTCTCTATGGCAAGGTAAGAATTAAATATATGCACTCACTTTGCATGCATTGAATCAAGCTCTTTCAGATTACTTSTTCCCATTAAAACCCCAAGGTGCTGCAAGCTCTATTGGTAAGTTTTAACTGCTTCACCACAGGGCACATGCTTTTAGTTAAAAAATAAAATAGAAATACACAGAAAAATAAAATATTCTTTTTCTCTTAGCAGCCACCTCAGCACATATTTCTGAAGTATAACAATGCCTTTCCTGAGGCCAGAGAACATGGCCAGAATATGAATCTTCCTGGTCAACAGAAAATCATTAATCTTTAGGCTAATTTTCTAAATAAAGTCAAGCTAATTTTTGTGATTTGTTAAATATTTTCAGCAATATTTAACTATTTGGATTAAGAATATCGATTAAAATATTTTAGTGCAATTCTGGTGTTGTTTTTCCCTGATGATTCTATTTTTTAAAGTATTCTATTGTATTTAACTAGCTATTTTTAGTATGATTTGCATATAGTAGAGCAAAAATACTTGTAAGTAGTTTTCAAAGCCTACATAATTTGGAAAGTATTGTTCTGTATTTGGTAAGTATGGATATTTCCCCCCATCAGCAAAACTATTTACAACAGAAATTCATATATGTAGCTAATATCTTGCACTTTTAAATTTTATAAMTTTCTGTGCATGATATTTATATGTCCATGACTTCCCATTCAATATTATTAATGACAGGTTTGTCAAAAAAAAATCAAAGTCTAGTTGGTTTGTGCATTTTAACTCTGATGTCAAGCACAAATAAAGGCTGATAAAGCAAGAAGGAATTTTTATGCTATTCAGCAAGTTTCCCTATATAATTACTTCCACAGTGTGCTACTTTGTTTTCATGTAATATTATAATATAAAGAGCATATAGTAATAAATTCAATTTAATTACTAAAATAACATATATGCTATAATAGATAATAATCTGTAATTATATAATCTGATAATAAATTCTTTCCTATTCAACACTGCAGAGAAAATCAGATTCTATTCTCCATCTGGTTTTAATTTTTTCATAAATTATTAGACTTTTATATAAACATTCAGAAAATGGGATGGCATTCCCAGACAATAAAAGTCAATTTTACATAAGGGTTGTTATCATCAATATAATTTAACCTGGAATAACTTTTCCTCATTTTGGGTGTAAATATGTTTTCTGATGTGGAAAGAATTCATTTGCAATAAAAATAATTAATTCTCATATTCCAACTCTAGAAAATATACAGGAGTGGAACAGATAATTTATAGACTTGTTTCAATATATTATCAAATTAGGAACCAATTTTAGGGGGAAAAATCCGTAGCTTTTACGGTAAAAATTATATCGGTGATGTTTTAGAGACAGCTTAGAAATAGAGATGATCTTTTCATTATTTAAACTGAGATAACTTTTCATGTTCCTCAGGAGATTTGGAGAGATTTAGTTATACTCCAGAAGGATAATGTTAAAAATCACCAGTCAGCAGTCAAAAAAAGCAAGATCTTTAAATAAGAAGTAGTTAAGTATCTATAACAACTCTGATTGTTGGAGGGGAGGGAACTGCATGCTTTTTCCTTCTTTATGTCCCAGCATTTGAGGTTAAAAAACACAGACTTCCAAAACCAAAGCCAAACTAGCACATATTGCAGCCTTCTTCACTTACAGGTCTTGCAGCAGCCATCATTATATGTCTGCACAGTTCCTCCATTCTAGGAAAACAAAAAAGAATATATCAAAAAAGACTGTGTCCAATGAAAAGATGAATTCTCTCTCAAGATCTTTCAAATTAAAAGATGTCCAGCTAGTAAAAATTAAYAGTGTTGAAAACAAAAGAATTAAACAGATGTGTATCAGGTGCTGGCTCGCTTCAAAAATCYTTTAAAGATTATACAGTGAAAAATGAGCTTCTTAATGTTTATCTGATCGGAACTCTTCTGAATCAGCCACTTAGTGTATAAGCATCTTTTAAATCATCTGCTACCGTCTATTTCCTTACCACTGATATTTCGTAGGATATTTTAATTTTTTTATATATATATTTTGGCCAGTGATGTAAAAAGATTTATACTGATCATATGCCAACAATTAGTTACTTGTAGGTCACTCTTCACAACATTATACATAGGTACACTTTTGAAAGGAGGTACTAACTGCAGAACTTCAAAWTTCCTGATATATTCTTCTTTTTCTGAAATAAAATTTGTTATTGCTTTCCTCTAAAGCTGCATTTAGCCAAGGAAGCAACAATAGATCAAAATGAAGAAAATGTCCTTTTCAAATTAAGAAAGTGCAAGTGAGAGACAGCAAGCAAAAYGAAATTTTGGGGCAAGCAAGAAATGCACCTGCAATTTTAATGAAAACCTAGAACTACATATCAAGCAAGCCAGCGAATACAAACAACAGATAAAACATAATTTTCAGGCTTCCATCCTATCAAGCTAGCATGCATTTTTACCTCATTGCAGAGGAAAAAATACTAAGTCATTCAAGAGCTTTTTAAATGAACACTTAAACTCAGCCTCCTCAATACATATTTGTTCTTCAGAGATTCTCAAATGACTTCAGAAGAGGTTTCTCCTTAGCTACCAGCTCAGGTCTATATCTGGYATCTCTCAAAAGTAGGTCAGACAGACCCAGGGAGTTAATTTTAGAGTTCCACTCTTTAAAATCTTGACCACTGATTCTAATAAAAAGTGACAAAAGAATAAGTCAAGGTAGAACATTGGGAGTAAGCAAAGGCATTACTTTCAGATAGATACATTTGGATAGTCCTCTTTAGAGAAGAAACAAAGAGTTTTTAAACACATGCAACAGATTTATAGGACTTCTGATGAATTTAGACKATATATTATATATATATGGTATATGATAGTTAGTCAAAAAGTCTTTAAAAAAAACACAGAGGACAAGATTGTAAATTGCTCACTTACCTACCACTTTTGTTTTGTTTTAGTTTAAAGCAACTGCATGAGGTGTGTGTATTTCCTCATGTAGGCCAAACTCCATACTGGTAGATCAGTTATTGTTACTCACCTCATCCAAAGTACAAACCTTTGTACACTCAGTGTCATTAAAAGGGGGACAGATAACACTGGACCCCAGTATCATAGCCCCTGCTGTGGTCTTTGCACACTTGTAGTTTGTGCAGTTGGAGCTCCAAGTGCTTCCTTCCTGAATGTACAAACAGAATTCAGGAAATTGTCAGAAAACACAAAACCATCACTTATTTCTGAAAGTCTTGTAGGATGTAAACATCATTATTTTGTGCTGTGGTATCCACTGAACTGAGTGGAGACTCTCTTGCCCACAGCCACACTCAGCAAAGGAAGGTTCTTTCTCACCCAACCACCTACTTCTCCRTGGAGCCAAGGATCTACTGTCCAGCACATTGCTCAACATGCTGAGCTCGTGACAGGAGTCTGATAGTTTATTTTTCCCTGAAAACAACAGCAAGCATTAACCAAGTGACAGTCCCTTCGAAATCCTTAGATGTGGCTGCGGGAATGCATCCTCAGAGACCTGAACCTGGTACTCCAGCACCTGGATGTTCCCTTCCCTTCTAYAGAAACCAGTGGGGAGAAGAGCGGCCCTGGGCAGAGCAGGACATGGGAATCCCAACATGCAGAAATATTTCCAGAAGTGTTTCCAGCTCCACTAATTCATAGCATGTGGTCCTGCTTCTGCAGAACATCTCACCTTAGGTAAGTCASAGCAGCCACATATCTTGAAGTGTATCTATGGAATACAGATACACATAACCATATCTAATATAGAGCTACATATCTATGCAATATACTATAACCAATAACGTGAAATAACGTATTCACTTATTGTGAAAAAGCATTTCTAGAAAAAAACATATATTTTTCGAGTTATACCATTTATATATCCTGGAAATGTGTTGTCAGCAGTAAAGAGACATGAATCAAAATTCATACTACTATAAGTCAACTAAATAAAAATGTTATACCACTCTGTCTGTTGTATCATTACAGTTATTTTCTATCTCTGTGCAGAGACACTTACTTCATGCACAACTAATGTTCCATTTTCTGAATGAAAAGAACAGGACACATTCTGGCAGGTACCACAGCAAGTATGGTGACTGGAGGAAGGAATATATATTTGATGCTAGTAAGAAAACAAAAACAACAACAACAAATATCATTTATTTTATCATTTTTAAAGATACAATACATGAAAGTCCACTGATTTTTGAAACAAAAAATGTTATGAGAAATGACATATGCATTGTGCCATGACGTGTATGTGTGCTTGCTTATGTATATGTATACACATAAGTAAATCGGAGTAAGGCTCACTAATTTTAGACTTGAAAAATCCAAAGCCCACCTTAGGCCCTGACAGCATTTCAGTTGACAATTTTTAGGATTGCTCAGTCTGATGGAACCTGAATTTCTATATTAGGACATCATCCTAGTTAGTCTGAAATCCCAGTGAAAGCAAAGCATCATAGGCATCAGTAATAACCAGACACCACTGACTCCAACAGCAGTATTCTCAGTGCAGAACATGACATTGTATTTTCTCCCCCCAACTGTAAACTGAAATATAAAAAAAAGTTTTGATATGTTCACATATATTACCAGAAATCATGCACCTTAAAATAAGGCTGGAAACACAGAATATATGTGTCATTACCCTTGAGTTCTCAAGCTGTTGCTAAGCAAACTGGACTGGCAGAAAACTTCACACAATTTTTTCTCTCAATTGCAATGTGTGAACATGCCTGTATTTTAGGAATACTCACAGTTTCACACTGCTGAGAACAGTTGACCATTGTGAAATGCACGGCGTTGTACCCTGTGTTCGGATCTTTCTCTGGTAAGCACTGCACAGTGTAGCAAAGGTCTCCATCTAARTACTGAACCACTGATTGTCCCGGACTCAGGACAGTTACGTCTTGGAAGATGCACACATCATCCTTTTCTAGCACCAAAAGAAAAAAAAAAGYGTCACCAGAGAATTTTTTTTTTCGTAAAGGAAATTAACAGAATCACTATGGAGAAAAAAAAAAATAGTAGGGTCCTATGCTCTGGGAAGTCTTCCAGTCTTTATACTGGATTGATGCTATAGAATATCATATCGATGGTGGTAGGGATATAATTCACCTTAAGAAAAAGCTACAAGATGCACGACTGGTTAAAATTGACAACTTTTCTGGGTTTTCTGTTTTTTTTTTTGTTTTGTTTTTTTATTTTAAAAAAAGTTTTTAACAATATTAATTTCATTGCCACTCCAGAAAAGTGAGTCTTTTTGCCAATTAAAATATTATTCCTATACTTAATTGTGGGATAYTAAAATACTCTAGTTGCACTGTAGTTGTGCAACCTGCTTAAGCTCTCCTGTGTGCAGCTAGGCTGAAAGTCAGACTTCACAGGGGAACAGAAAAAAGTAAAGAAAGGAAGCAGAGAGATCTAACTTTAAAGCCGCACAGTTAGCCTCATGACAGACAGACACAGAGTTTGTTTTTCTGACATTGTGCATTCTCTCCTTGCCACCTCTGGTGGACTACAAGCATTCACACAGGGTTTCAGAGCCTGCTTCATATCTTCCTTTCACTGGAGATATCTGCCTCTGAAAGTAGAGGCAGTCCTAACATGCTCCCGTGACTCAGGACTGCATTTGGGAAAAAGCAAAATTGCCACTAAGTAGCCATAAAATCATGAGAAAGTAGTGTTTGTATTTGAGAAGGTGATTATGGCCCTACTTCCATGATTTTGCACTTTATTTCTAAAAAAAAAGAAAAAAACAGATACAAATATGAAGGTTACCACAAATGTAGTGAGTGCATCCACAAGAACTGGAAACACTACTATCAATTTTCTGAACTTCTCCCTGAATATGAAAAGATAAAGGATTGTTTAAAATCATGAATAACTGCAATGCTTACCAAGAGAATGCACAGTACTGTATTTATCACTTCCACCTCCACTTTCATAAACGAGAAAAAAACGTAGTGCATTCAAGAAACAGTAACAGGTTCAAAGTTATTCAGTGTATTTATCTCTAAACATGAGCAAGTCTTTAATTTTATCTAGGAATGAATATGAATAGCAGAGTGGCTAAAGTGTAGTTTTCTACAAAGCTATATTTTTTTTTTGTAGTAATCATATTGTTAAAATACTGCTTTCCATGAGACATCTTTCAAAAAGGATTCAAATTTGCAACTTCTGTTTGCACTTTATATTATGTATTACATCGTTATATAATAAGAAAAGAAGGGTAAAGTATGGCTTTTTTATAGAGAGGAAGCTCTTTTCATTGTGGTAATAACAGGAATTTGAACACTCACTCTTAATGATTTTCCATTATCATAGTCCCTATTTTTAAAACATGAGACAATCTGTGAGGACTAAAATATTTATGGCTTCTCATATCTTGTAAGGTCAATAGGGGTAAATCRTTTTAATAAGAAGCTTAAATGATTAACATTTTAATTATTAAAAATGTTTAAAACATTTCTCCAGATGATACAGATGATAATCAAACTCATCCTTCTTAAAYACCCAAACAACTAGGAGTTGTTTAAGTGGAAAAATTTCTGCATGTTGGTTTTTGCGAGCAGTAAACAAAACAGTATTACTTTATTTCTCTTCTTTTGCTGTCTTAAACCATGCAAAGTGTAAATTTCCTCAAGGGAAGGTTGCAGCCAATCCTTGCTCAGTCTTGCTCCCTTTTATAACTAAATAAAGTAAGGAATGGAAAGGGAGGTGTAAMTGCTGAGTGCTATTAATAGAAATATCTAAAGGAAAGTTCTTACCAATTTACAAGTCAGCAAAGTAGTGTTTTCACAGCTACATTCTGAGAAGAACAACAAAAAACTTGTTAGTCCATTAGCTAATTTTAGCAGCAATAATAAAGAATAAAACAATAATTACCACAGTGCCATTCTGGACAACACTGCCCAGGTACATTTTCCTTCACAAGTGTCATGTCATCCGTGCAGTTCATAGGAGGCTCAGAACAAAGGTTTTCATCACAGACTAAATGGGGGAAAAAGACAAGTATCAAAGTTTACTCAGACAAATTTCCTTGGAAATTTTCACCTTGCATTTCCCTTGATAAAGTATTCTAAATATTATTTCTTTCCAATAATCTGTTGGGAAAACAATGTTTCTTGAGCAGTTATGTTTATAGACATTACTCAAAAACATAGAGCATACTTTTATAACACCAGTAACGTGACTGCACCACAGTGCAAATATCTCTCTCTGGTTGCTTGCTGCTTGAATAGTAGCCATACGAGTAGCATTTGAAATCCTCAGTCTAGTCCTTCCCCTAAAAGTTAACCATTTTATGAAAGTGCACAAACACTCATGAATGGAGCCACGGAGGTATGACAGTATACAAATTGTAYATTTTATTAGAGATATTTCTAGTGTATGCACATATATGTATGGACGATTTCATATCTCCACACTAAGGATGGGATTCAGCTCTAGATTAAGTTACCATCTTTACTATATTTGTCAACATACTGAACTAWTAAGAGTTGCATACTGAACTTTTAGCAGTTACACTCACCACAGTAGTAACGAGGACAACAGTAATGTATGGTGTTAAGGTCAACAGTGAGAATTTCTCCTTCATTACACAAGGGAACAGGGTCGATACAGGATTCACAAACTAAATTAAAAAGAATCAGACATTTGCAAAGTTTTATATACTAGAAAATTAGCACTTTTGAGTCCTATATGATACAGTTTTTATTACAAGCTTTAGGACCTTGGAGAGCTTTAATGGACTTGCACTCAAATACAATATAAAATATATTTTATATATAAAATATATAAAATATATAAAATATATATTTATAAAATATATAAAACAGTAGTGCACTAATGTAGGTGTCAAGACTTGCACTTAAAAGCATATAGCTTTTTGATAAAGAACAACCAAAGATGAGTTGTGATCCATGAAATAGCACACTGACAGCATTGATCATATAACTCAGTGATAAAGAAAAATGTCTGCTAACAATTTTTATTCTGCAGTTCATATATGATGTTAAAAACTATGTTGGAAATAAAAGATTCCAAAAAACAAGAAAATTCATGCACTAGAGAGCCTGACCCATTTTTAGGCCCAGCTCCAAGAATTTTTGGGTAGAGTCATTATCTTTACAACTGTAGATTAGTTTTGTAAACACCTGACCATTCTTCAGTTATCCATAAATATATTAAAGTCTTCTTACCACAGAGGTAAGAGAAACAACAGGGAACTTCTTGTTTTGCTTCAACAATAAACTGATCTTCTCTGCACTCCAGCTGGGAAGCATTCACACAAACTGAAGGATCACATTCTGTAAGACATAAAAAAATCATCATTTTTAAAAAGAATCACAGAACTCATGCTAAAAAGAAAAGTTATTCTTTGTAAATTTTTCTTAGTCAAAAAGAGAACCCTAAAATTGGTTTTAAATCAAAATGACATGAAGCATAAATACAAAAATGATTGGAGAGCCTGAGAAGAACGTAACGCTAGTGCCATGTGCAGTGTTCCATTCTATTAACAACAACAATAAAAAATCCTAAGACAGACTTGCTTACAACAGATAATATCGGTATGGAAAATGATCCCTTACTAGTGCTTTTTTATTTCCCTTACCACATCGGTACTGTGGACAGCAGGATAGGGCATGGTAGCTAACAACCATTTTTTCACTGGTTTTGCATGTTGGAATAACAGCCTCACACAATGACATGTTACACTCTGTAGAAAAAGCAAAACCAAAAATGAGTGTTACTATGACTTATTCAAAAACAAGTCCTGATCATTAAGATATTTATATCATCTAGAACAGAGATCAACAAACAAGATTCTTAACAAGTTTTGTTACACTAGTGGAAATAAGTTATGTCTACACAGTCAATTCTCAAATCTGACAACTAAAACAAACAAATAAACAAGAAAAAATCACACCAACCCACCAAAAGAGCCTGCTTTGCTGAAATACTGCTAACCAACCACAAATACCCAAAAATCACTTCCAAAAAAAAAAGTTACCTTATACCCTGTCTGCAAGTTAACATGTGCTGAATGTCAAGTCCTTATTTTATACTTCAGTTAATAAAGATCTGTGTGGTCGTGTACATACCACAAACTTTTTTTGGACAGCAAGCCTTCTCTTCAAGGATGTGGACAATAACTTCCCCTTCTCTTTCGCAGATTGGTGATGGATCCTYGTCACATTCGGGCTCTACTGCAATGACACTTCCATTTTCTAGGCATTTGTACATGCAGCAGCCTTTTGTGGACTCATTCCAAATCTCCCCAGCGGAGTGGGGTTGTCCTTTGTTATCTGTACATGCTAAAGGAAAAACATTATATCCCTCAGACAAGAAATACAGAATTTCCTGCAAACAAGTATCAATTACTCTGTCATCTGGATAGCTTTACTGCATAAAATATTATGAAGTAAATTATTACATTGATGTGCTTTATTTCTTAAAACAGGCCTGAATTTGAATTACTGAAAATAAATACTTGTTTCAAGGAACTGTTCTATTAATATTGGCCATTCTCCAAATACGTGTGTCAGTTTTCTATACCAATTTCCTCTTTATCTCTAGACATTAGGAGTCAGAGGTCCAAAGATACTGGCATCAAACAGTTCCTTCTTAGTCATACYTCCTCAATTAAGTAAGTAAAGCATGTTTTAAATCCAAGCTAAACATTTTTATATAGATTTGGCTCTTAATAGAAGTCAAAAGTTGGGCAGAACAAATGCAGCATTAAGTTTAGTAAATGCAAGTTGCAAATAGAAGAGCAGATGAGTTCAAATCCTAACATTCAGCATTTACTTGAGTCCCTCTGCCTCAGTCTAGTCTGCACTTTAAGCATATTGGCCACAGAAGTACCCTCACACACACTGTGTGTACTGTTTGTAGGTAACCATCTTGATTTATTAGGAAGACATGGTTGCAGACACACAGAATGTCTATTACTGGTGCTACACAAACATCTAATTCCACTTCACTCAGGGYAAATACGCAATATTTGTCTCTTTTTCCAACCTAGAATCCCCAAAGCCTCAATAATCTCTGCAAAAGAGTGGCAAAATGCCGTAACATTCTGGCCAACCCTCCCGAAAAGTGGTTCAGCCTTGACTCAAAGTACAGCAGYTAATTCAGATAAAGCATCCTCCATTTTTATAAGGATGCTTGCAGTTAACTATTCTGTTATCTTCATTTCATATTCTCACACCCGCTCTCCCAGTTCTTTGGGGACTGAAAAGTTCTCATTGAACTTCATTTTCTGTGACAGTTAAGCCTGATCAATCACAATACACTYGTTGAACTAGTTTTGGACATTTATTGTTAATGTCACCCTGCTCCACTTTCTGTTAATTCAATCTCTCCCAACAGCAATTCTTCAAGCAGACAGMTCTGCAGCCAGGACTCAAACTACAGAGACTTATGAAGTGTGCACTTTGTGCTATATATAGAAACAAAATCATCAGATAAAAAGTATAATTAAGAGGAGCAGTTAACATTAGCATACAAGTAGGCATCTTGTTTGATAGCTTTAGCTTCCAAGTGATCAGGAAGTATTTCCTTGCCTCCATACAGAGATTTATAACCAAGAACTTATGGTTTACTGGGGAAATGCTGAGAAAACTACTGCAGTAACCAAACAGAAATGGGAACTTCAGGACACCATGTTCAAAGAATCCAAGAAAAGACGACAGCCCTTAAAAATAAACAAAATGAAAGGGCCCTGCTATGGGTTAAAAAAAACTCAAGTGCACTGGTAAGAACTTATCCCTTCTGTTCCTTCCTGAGTACCCTGCAAAGACACTAAGTCTCAGTCTGCAGAATGGCTATCAATTTTCCCAATGCAATTATATCGCTTGAATCCAAGTGAAGTGAAAGCACAAACTGGTAGAGCTTAACATAAAAGTTAAACTCTGTAGAAGGTGACTTCCAGATTCACACCCTCTGASGACTGACACAGAACATACTGCATTTTTCTTCTGGTATACAGAGATCAGAGTCTGTTCTATGCAGAATAGTCCCATTTTCACACACACAGTCTTCTCTTAAATAGGAACAGGGAGAATCTTCATAAAACCACTTATTCAAGCATGTCTTGGCTTCACAGGGTTGCACACAAGGCTGGTATTCCTTGCCATCAGGACAACTCAATGCTGCAAGTCATAAGGAGAAATTAAGTGAAACTTTCATTCTTTCATCATTTCATTGGATAAATAAGAACAAATGCATCTACCAGAAAAAAAAGTATACATTTATATTTTTAACAATATACTTTAGGTAAGCAATTAATTAATTAAAGATTAAAATCAACCCACTACATTTCAACTAAAGCAATACATTTTAAAAACTTGTACTCTGACTGACCAACGATGTGACATAYTTTTAATGATAGAAAGAACTACTTTTTTACTCATTAGTAAACACTGCAGCAGTATACAGTAAGTTATGAAATATCACTATCAGCTTACAGCAGTAATCAGGTGTCCTCCATTTAATGCAGATATTATGCTTGTTGCACAAAGCCACATATGCAGAAAGTGCATCACACTCATAATTCCARAAATAGGTACTGTTGATCCACATCTTCTCACAAAACTCCCGTGGCGAAACCTAGGAACACAATGTAATTGAGAATTAACATGCTGAAGACCTTTCTGTTATGGAAATTAAACATTAGTTACCAGAAATGCAGAGCTGCATGTAAAAAAGAAATCACAGGTAATCTCCAAAGGAAAAACCTTCATTCTATAAAACTTAAATTGTCCTCAAATTTGTGTGTTCATTAGTAAGCACAAAATACAGTYCTGATGAGATTGCAGTGCTACTGGCAATAATGCTTGCAGCACAGTTCTGTCAACTTAAAATTTACCATCTTAAACATTGCTGCTGTCTTCCTTCATATAAGCTTACCAAAAAGAGTGAGAAAGTGAAAATTGGCTTTATTCTGCCTGTCCTGTATTGTGCAGCAGCCTTGTTCTCCTTTTGTTTTCAGCAAATCTTTAAGTATATGTTTTCTCTCATCAAGTTTGTTAGTCTGATGGCTCTGTTACCTATCCTTGTTCTGGACTTCACTGCTGTTTCCCATTAAGTTTCTGTGGCAGATATCTATTAAATCTTTTTCTTTTTCTCTCTCTTTTTAATTCATTATTTTAAGAAGAATTCTCTCTCTTTTTTTTCTAATTCAGCAAAATGAGGGAGGATTTGGGGATCTGAAGAAAGGGGCTCGGCTGCCTGTAGTAACTGTAATAACACCTGCAACAATAAAATATAATAAGAACAGCATTTGTCTATGAAGAAAAATGCAAAGAAAGGCAAAGCAAACCAAGGAGGAAAAGACAGAATAGTAAAAATTGAAACAGGAATTTAGGTATTTCCATCTCTAGGAAAGAAAATGCCACTTCTGTAATTAATCCTTTGTATTTTGAATTAAGGAGGAGAAGTAAGTGGGTCGCCAGAGATTTGGGGCTTTATCTCCTGAAAGTCTCTGTGCTGCACTAGCTACCTCTAGTGGTAGATTCTAAGTCTGAACTCTATCCCGGTTAYAAGGAGTTTCCAAAAATAACCGATTTCCTTTAGAAATGCAATAAATTGCCAACATAGTAGTGCCTATGTAAAATCTGTTTAACTGACAATTTAGTCAGTAATCTCATTTGGTTATTTTTGAACAGTCTGTTTAAGATTGCTCGAGTTATTGTGGTGCGCAGCAGAAGCATTTGTGCTTGACCTCACTCAAGCATTTATTAAATATAAYTCTTTGGGAGCACATTCGTATTGCAATAATACTCTCCTTTGAGCTTTGTCTACCCAATACTTTCAGAACTGGCACACTGATTCTTTAAGATAGGCGTACTTTGCACATAGCATCCCCTGAAGAATCACTGGTTATAATGGGTAACATGACAAAAGAACTATACCCATCCATTCATCCAGTTTTCAACTCATGAAAATAAGCAAAATATTTTTTTAAAAATGCATCTTTTTCCTTTCCTAACTATACATCTTTTATTCAGTTTTCACCTGGCATTTCTCTGGTCCTTATACTCACTTTCTTGTGACAAGGGAAGAAAATGCTTCTATTTAACAGTTCCATACAGTATGTGCAGTTATCTTCAGCGCAGTCTCTTACTGGCCTCCTGGTTGTTGCATCAACYGATTTCTCAATTTCCCAGCTCTTAATGAACTCTTCAATTTCCTCCATATTTGTAATTACGGTCCTGTTTTGTATTTTCAAATCATCACTAGGGTCTCCATTGCACACCCCTGAACAGACAGCATCACATTCAAAATAAAAACAATTACTTCCTTTGGGAAAGAAGAGTGTCCTTGATAAGGTAAGATTAACACTGTATCAAATTTATTACAGCATTCCCCCAATTTTGCTGAATCTAGAAGAATTTTCCTTTTCATCTAGCAGAATTTAGCAATTGATTTTAAGTAAATAATTTGAATGCATTTTTAATGCATCTCTCCATTATTTCATCTGTCTTTCCAACTAAAAGCAGTTTGAAATACTTTAAAAGAACATATTTTAGTTAAATATGGGGTAGATGCAGTTAAATTAGATTGCACTAGAAAAGGAGGAATATTTATGATAGAATTAAAATTACCCTAAAATACCCATTAACACCTTTTCAGAAAATTCATACTGGCAGCATTACGAAGAGGTTATTAGGGAAGCTTGAAACATCATGCATTTATTATCATCTTAATTGAGTTCTGAGACACCTGTAGCACACTTTTGGATCCTAATTCTTAATAGGTCTGATCTTTGATTCACGATTTTGGGGAAACCCAAAGCCCACAGATCACCACCATCATCCCACAGTTACTCCTGTCCCTCAGAATCACTGAAACGCACTGGCACTACCTGAACTTCTTCAGCAGCCCCTTCTCCATTTGGCTCTTTTCTTTGCTGGACTCCTGGACTACAACATTTTGAAACGCAGGCAGAAAAGAGTATATATCTACTTTTTTTTTTTTTTTAGCATGAATTCATTAATGGTAATTAGCAGATTTTCACAAGCTCTCCTCAAACAGGATTGTAAGCATGGTTAATGGGAATCTCATAGACAGCTACAAACACAACAAATTACATGTACAACAGGGAAGTGTAACTTTTAAATGAGGAATGATTAAATATGAATAAAAATTAATTGAGACCAAAACCTCACCGCAAAGTCCTTCTGTCTTCACTGATGTGTTAGAATGCAGTCCATACTGGATATCTATGATGCCTGTAACATGAGCCCACTTGATGCTAACACCAGCTGGCGTGTTGACAACATACATTGCACCAGTATCCTGAATACTCAGTCCTTGTTTTGAAAATGGTAATGACTGAATTACAGAATCCACTACTACCTAAAACAAAGCAAACACATTTTAGGGACAAAAACAGCATTGCAGATATATACTTTATATTTCTTTACTTCTTATAACAGAAAGAGTTTGTGCTTTATAGCCTCTGCTACATGCAATAACAGGAGTCATTGTGCTTAAACTATGGGTTTCCTGGCAGCTGCCACTTCCTRTGAAGGGCACCTCAGCACATCTCTCTCCTGTTCTGGGCTACCTGGAACCACAGTCTCAAACATAAATATCCTTTGCAGCTTCTTTAAAATCTCAGAAAACTTTGACACACCAAATTGCATAAATGGCATGTAAGTGAAGCATGTTATCAGAATTAAATTTGTTCTAGGATATCATGAATTACTGGGAACCTGAACTGCAAAAATAATCTTATTCCTATATTGCATTCATTATAAATCTCACCTAATGCGTTTTAACACAGAATATCCCTGCAGCAATGTTTTAAATAGGCATATGCTTCAGATTGGTGAAATATACCTACCCTTCTTGCTAAACGGTTGATAAGTAATTTATTTGTAGATGTTGTAACATTTAATTTCTTAAAGCAGAGTCCAGAAGTGCTTGAAGGGGGAACCTTGAAAGAAAAGTGACAAACAAAATTGACTATWGTTATTTTTCAATTAGCAATGAAGAGTGCTATAGGGTGTGTTTTTGTTTGTTTTTTGTTTTGTTTGAATTGTGCAATATTAATGTATTTTGTAAGTAGTAAAAGAAAAAAGGTACTCACTAGCTTTCTTATTGAATTTGCACTCTGTAAGACATTAAAAAAGTAGATTAGAAGTGCAATGACAATCAGTAGTATGCTTATTTGGGTAGGATAAGTTGATTGTTATTTTTATCTTTGAAAGTTCTTATACAGTCACCTTGCTAGCTAAACTAATTGAATATATTAATTTTAAATACTAAAAAAATACACATTTTCCAATTACTGTGGTATACAGTTTTATGAACTATTTTTGGAAACTTGATTTACTTACTAAGGATTTAAACTAAGAGGCTTTAAGTAGATCAAACAGAAAAGCAACACAATGATTTAAAGAAGCTACCACAGGCTTTAACGCTGACTGATCAGCTTTAACATTGACAGCAACTTTGCAAACCCCAAAAATGCCATTCAGGAAACTAAATAACCACAAATATAACTTCTAAAAGTCATCTGCCTGCGTCAGCTGCAATGACATCCTCAAGCTGAAACACCAACAAAGAAAMAACCAAGAAACAAGAAACAACAAAACAACAAAAAGACAACAGTTAAAAAAAACCCCACCTTGATAGCAGTGTAGTATTCAGCACTTAAATGCTTCAATGTACAGTTTTCTACAATGCACTAGTGGGACTGGATAAGACAACGAAGGATGGGAAGGAAAGAAATCTTACGAGGTTTCTGGTAAGGAATTTACTTTCCCACAAAACAAAGATGGAAATACAAGGCAGCTGTGCAGGGCTCAATAAAATAAGATTACAGACAATGCAAAGGAGCTGCACCTAGAGRCTCTAAGGAAGAGACTGACCTCAACTAAACTGACAGTCTAAACTGGACCCCCTCTGTCAGCAATGTGGACAGAGACAGCTCCAAAGAACAACTCATCACACTAATCCCAAACTCATTTCAAAATTCAGTGACCATGCAAAATATTTCAGTATTTTGACAATACCGTCAAATATTTGGGGCCTCAACATGATTTGTGAGTGAGGAGGCCTGAAGAAGACATGCAGGCACAGGATTTATAAGGGATGTCAGAGTATTACTGGTGAAGGCTTAATAGTTGTTAATTCTAATGGAGCTGTTTGCTGTTGCCCTAGCCATTGATCAAACTACTGAATCCAACACCTAACAATTAAAGAAGAACCTGCAATTAAATCTCCTCATAATGTATGACAAATAGTATTTAATCTGAGATGAAATTTTGATGAAATACTCTCTTTGAAAATTAAATAGCTTGCCATTTTTCTGTGAGTACTTGCTCACAGAAGTGAACTTGCTCACAGTAAACTTGCTTATATGCTACACTCTGGCAAAGTTCCATTCCCATCTATAACACAAAAAATAAAAAAACTGTTATGATTATTGAGATAGTATGCAAATATCTTACTTGATTAGCTGGACATTTTTCAATATGAGCGATAATAATTTCTCCTGGTAGCTTGACTAAAATGTAGGAAGCCACATTGCAAAGGGCTATGTTGTTCCCATCAAATGTAATGACACTCAGTTCAGACAGTACAGAACACTGACCTAAAAAAGAACTGTCATTTAATGAAGTTACCATAAAACAGGACACTGTACATTTCTAAAAACAAACAAAACCCATTTAGCAATATTGCTTATGTACAAGATACTTTTATGTAAATAAAATCCTGCAACTACTTGTTGGAATTCCTCTGTTGACACGACAGTGAGCAGTAAGGAGAAACAACTGTCTTATGTCATTCAGTGACCATGTCTTAGCCAACTACCATGTCCACAAGGTAGGGGTGCAAGATTCAACTGGTGATATTTTTCACTTAAGTCAACACTTTACAAACAAGGTCAATTAAACTGTAAACTGTCATATGAAATATAACTGAAATATACATTACAATATATATCATGTTTGAGATGCTAAAAAATGGACCTGTTCTGTCTTGATGTAAGCAGTAAGAAGCGTGGTTTCGGTGTCAGCCATGCTGCAAAATTTTTAATATGACTTTTCTACAGCTTCTTTGTTCCCTTAACAAACAGCCTGTTCCCAATCTCTACAATTTCAAAATACAAGTAAGAGCTCCACATCTAACTGAAAATATTTAATTTTCTTCTCTAGTCTAAACAAAGCTTTGTTATCTCCTCATTTTATACTGATAGAAATWCTGAAAAGTTTCAGCTGGGAAATGATGATAGATTCCATTTCATAGATAGATTCATTCAGAATAAAATATTTTGACACTGAAGAGTATCATGTTAATTCAAAAAGACCAGAACATTCACTATATTTCATTGTGTTTTGCTGATGAGACCCAGAATAGCTCCTTTAAATTAATTTTGGAATTAAACCTCATCTTCCCACTGTAACAAACATTCAGTTTACTGATTGAAAAACACTTACAGGGACATTCCCATTCGGGGCAACAGCTATCAGTGTTAACTTGGAATGGCATTCCTCGGAATCCACAGTCTGGCTTCTGCACATCTCTTCTGCAGTTCTTTGAAAGGTTGTATAACATCCAACCCATATTAACACACAGATACTGGCTACATTTGTCAAGAGGTTCAAGGTACCTAGGCTGTCATGTAAGAGGGAAAAAAAAACAGAACAACAATAAAAAAAGAGTTGTGTTTTCATTCAGTTCAGTTATGAAACCCTAGTCCTACAATGTCATTGCTCTGAGATAAATCTGAGACAGAATGTGTCATCCCTAATATGTTTATCATTGGGTCTGGCAGCTGGACTAAAATACCCTTTGCCAAGTACCTTTAGATTCATTATACATGTGAACATGCATATGCTCTTGCTTTTGAACACCAGAAGATGCACAGGATGTTAGCAACCTAGCCATACCCTTTAGGCTTATCACAGGCAACTTGGTGTCCTAAACATGGTCCCAGGTAACTCATGAAATACTGCTAACTTAATATTTTACTGAATATTAATTCAATATTCTGCATGCTACTAGTACAAAGAAAAACACCCTCAAATAACCAAAACATCAAGCAGAACCAAGTAGCCCTTTACATATAAAAAGAAAGATGGCATTAAAATATCTTGTGTTAAAATAAGTGAAGTCTGAAGAAAACTCAATCAATCCTTCAGATCAACATGTGCAGAAGACTTGAGAGAGGCAAATGTTTTAAAAATTACATTTAGAGTGTCTAACTTTACTAAACAAGCTTAAATATGTTGTAGGTTTTGATATTTGCCATGGATCCATCCAAAAATGGATCCAACAAGCCTCTAAGAATAATTACTTTAAAACTGAAACAAAAAAAAACAAATTCAGAAGATATTTTATTATACTTTAAATATCAGATCTGTCAGGTATAGCATCTAACAATGGATTGAATAGCAACATATAATGCATGCATATTAACACATAGGTGCATATAAAACTTATCATACCACACATTCAGAGGATGTAAGCATCACTGCACCAAAGGAACCCTGGTCAGCTCTAACTGTGATTGCTTCTGTGCTTGCCAGAGAAGTTTGTGCTTGCTTTGAGGGGGGAGGCAGAGCCATCTCACTGCTAGAATGAGATAAATTTGTCACAGTTCCATTTTGCAACTCTGTGGACTCTGTTAAATTAAAATAAGGCTTAACAGTTCTCTGTGTGAGGGTTTTAAACCAATCTGATGTTACACCTGGGACTTCAGAGACAGAGAAAGATTTTACTGAAGACGTGTCGCTTTTAGTTAAAACAGGAGAACTCTCAACTGCAAATGCTGTTAAATAAGGCGCAGGAGATTTCTCTGTAGTGGTTGACTTTGTCTTGGTGACATTCCTTTGCACATTTGAAGTTTGAATGCTTTCTAAACTATCTGCAGTTTTTTCAAATGAGGTTGCATATTTAAATTCTGAAGCTGTAGGCGAGATACTCTTCATTTGTGAAAATGGACTTACAGTACTAGTTGTTTTCATGATTGTGATTTTCAGAGTCTCTTTAGTGCTTTGGGAAACTTGAGATGGTGGCGATGTAATTAAAAATTGGTGGGACGCATACATGGGTATTTCTGTGGTAGCAGGAACTGAGGCCATAGCAGCAACAGGTGAATCTGTGGGTTTTGTTGTGATCCTAGTGCCAGAAGTGACTAACACATTGTCTGAGGGTGGTGTTTCTGAAAAAATATAATCTGTTTTTAAGGATGTAGCATTCACAGTTATGTTCATGGTCAGTTGTGTGGTGGACTGAGTGATCCTTCCTGCTGATGTGATTGACTTTGTTCCATCTTCTGCTGATGCACTTACTGAAGAACTCTGCTTTCCTAGAGAAACAGTAGAGAGATCAGTGGTCTTAGGAGGAGGTGAAGACACAGAGGCCCCATAGAGCTGGCTTTCTAAAGTATCTTCAGGTGTTTGGGGTGTTAGTAYATAGGCCTTTTTAATGGAGCTTTTTAGCTACTGAAATGCTAATAGAGGGGCTGCTGTTTGAAGTAAATGCAGAAAAATCTACAGAAGAAGTTGAAAAATCTGTATTTGGACTTTTTGAGGTTCTCTGTATATCTAGAGGTGAAAGTGGCATTTGGATAACAGTTTGTGTTAATGAAGATGTTTTACAAAGTAAGGGAAACAATGAAGAACTTGTAGCATGGGATGTTACAGAAGATGGTATTGGTGTGATAATAACGTTGTACATAAAGATGATGGACCTGTAAAAGAAGGTTCTTTAAAAATTAAAGTGCCTGCTTTTYGTGCCACAAGGGTAGTTTTCATTTCTGCGTGCATACTGTTCAGATGTACTGTAATTTTTGAAATGATTATTAATAAAGCATTTAGAGGTAATAAAAATGTCCTAAGAGGGAAGACTGTAGAACTACTTCATAGGTACTGACACAGTGTAAGCTTCCTTATAAAGATTGTTTGAGATGACAGCAACACCTTCCACAGACTTGGATTTCAGGGAGGTAATCACAGAATACAGTGGTATAGACACTGTGTGCATTAAAGAAGTGGTGTTTACAGGGTCTTGAGAAGCAACTTACAAGACAAACATGGCTTTGGAGAAAGACTAGCTCAAGAATTAGTATTTAATGATACCAGACAAGTTTTAGAGCCTTTGTTGTTTCCGAGCCTTTGTTGTTTCCAAATATGAAGGTGTGATTAATTTAAGAGAACTTGTSTCAAACCTAGTAGTACTTGGAATTTGAGGAGCAGTTGAATTCAGTGCAGAAATGGATTCTAGATGAGCTACAAGTTGACCAATGCTATAACTGGTTCTTACAGATAAAAGAGATGGAGAAGTGGATACRCTTAGTGTAAACTGTGAACCTGAAAGAAATGTAAATCTTGTGAAAGTTGCTCTGCCAGACAGTAAAGCAGAAAAAGATCCTTCACAGGATATTACTAATTCCTTAGAATGACTTTCTTAAGGAATCTTACTACTCCAAATCCCTGTGGGCAGTCATAAAAGATGGTTTGGAGGTTAAATCTCTTAAAAGTTGGGATGGGGGGGCAGTTCCAACCTGAGCCATTGATGATTCATTGGAAATGGTACTACCACTGGGATGTGGGCATTAGCAATGCAGAACGTATTGGAACAGGACTGGCACTGAGTGGGGCATAAGCATGAATTGTTGGAGTTCCTACTATAACAGGTAAAGTTACAGATGGAGTAGAACTGACAGTATGGCATGTGACTACTGATGCTTGAAAAGCAGCTGGAAAATCTGTGGAAGAGGTGAGTTTGGAAAAGACAGAAGGGGTTGTTGTRCTGTGAAGTACATCAGAAGGCTCCACTGTACTTGGTAATGTGACTGTTGAGTAGGTGGCATCATTAGATGACTCCAATGAAAAAAAGTCTGTATTGGACTGTGCTGACATATTCATTCCTCTTGGAGTTACATCTGTCTTCAAGGTTATCTTGGCAGGAGTTGGCCCAGCCCCCATAGCAACAAATACAGGAGGTGTCTGAGGAAATCTCTCCAAGGTCGCAACTGTGTGAGAGGTTAGTGAGGAAAATTTTGTTCCAGCTGTTGATTCCGTRGGTTTCACAGGTATGCCTAAAAGGAAAATGCATGTTTCACTCTTTTTCCTACATAACGGTACAGCAAAATAGCAATATTTACCTATACTAATGTTTACAAATTAGAAGGTAATTTTAATGAAAAACTAACTTGTCAAAGACTGTAAAGAAAATGAATATGRGTTCCCAGTGGCCTGATGGCTTTAAGGAACTCAACTCAGTATCAAGAATTTTTCTAATTTCCTTTGCAAGCAGTTCAGTTTTCAAAGTCTAATTTTCTTTGCAAGCAAGTCTAATTTTCTTTTGCACAGCAGTTTTGAAGCAACGGAGAGTTCTATGTAAAATTCTGTAAACACAAAAATTCTGTAAAATATTTGGAATAAATAGAATGTGTTATCTTCTTTTGTATCTTTGGAAGGTAGTACATTATACAAGAAATCGTTGTACTGAAAAATACTAGGCATAATGTAATTATTTCAAAACACACAAAAGTAATTATTATTGTAAAAGAATACAGTAACTACAAAATAAGTGAATAATGTGGTATCTTCACACAGCAGAAGTTATGAAATAGGTGCACTGAATTAGATAAGGGTGGTTCAGCAGCACAATATTCTGAACTCTTCACTACAGCAGTATTTTTTCCCCACTTGTTATCTTTCTCATATATATATATATATATATATTATACAGAAGCATCTATATTACCAAATCACAGCTGTGGCTAACACCATGACAAAAGGCTGAGTTCTACACAGTATTTTAGGAATGAAGAAATTCAGCTTTAAGTATGACTTGCTTGGATGTAGGATTTGGGATGAATGCGAACGCAGGGTATGTCCCAGGGAGCCATTCTTCAGCAGAAGAATGTTCTGCTAAAACATTTAATAGCAATAACAAAGTGCATTTGATTGAAAACTGTAAAGAGATCTGTGGAGAGATTTGTAAGACTAGACCAAAATAATAAAAAATACTTACAATCTTCTGGATAAACACATTTAAGTGTGACCTCATCAAGGATCATGTTTTTGGGACAGTATGGCAAGCATCCTTCAACCCTTTAAAATATTACAAAGTTACAGCTAAAGCAGAAGTGGCACAGTAGAAATATTAATTATTTTTAAACTAGTGCAGTTTGGCCAAATTAGACATTTCAGTGTGTTTCTGTCACAGTTTAGATAAATCTGTAATGTAAGGAAGAACACACACACAGTATTCTGAGGCATAACAAGGTCAATAAGACACTGAACTGCTTAACTCTCTTTCTAAATCATTAACAATCCATTCTTTATACATGATAGTTTTGGAACATTCTGCTTCTGACAACCCTGTGGGAGTTCAGATGCCTAAGCAAAAAGGTTTCCAGTGAGACAAAGAACTTCAACATCACTGCTCAGATAAGTACATCTGAGATGTTAAAGCATTTATATTGACTTTATAGGAAGTTTCTGAGTCTTGCGCATCACCACAGGGCAGGAAAATGCAAACAAGTCCATATCTTCCCCTGTCCATTTATTTTTAATGAGAAAAATCACTATAATTGAATCCATCTAGAAAAAAAAGATATGGAAARCAATATAGGAAAAAATGTTTTAGGAATGTATCTAATCTGGAACAGCATATACATAGGGAGGTATGCTGAAAAGAAAGTATCTTTTCCATCAGATTCTCTGTCTTGAATTTTAGACAATTTTTCTGTAAGTTGTTTTACAATAAAATGTTTCCTTAGATGTCAAGAGGAGATCCATGCAGCCCAGCAATTTTTTGACTACTAAAAACTAACAAGCTAATCCCCACAATGTGAAATCCCTTTCATTACACCAACCTACATCTCTAGTGATAAAATTCTATCTTTTTAAAGGAGATCGTGTAGTTCACCCTTACTATACCTTCAAGTTTTGATATGTCCCTTAAATRCGAGAAAGATGAAGTCTGTTACAGCAACACGGTTTTCTGGTGTGAATAAATATATCATCAATTTTCATTTCATTAAATAGGTGTCCAGATAGCACTACTGAGAGTTAATCACCTAGACTAAAAACAAATCCCCTTTTTTTCCTAGTTCTGTCTATGGATTGTATATAAACAGCAATAAATATCAGGGGGAAACAGGACACATTGCAAACAGTTTCACATGACTTTCAAGACTTGCTTAATTCTTTTTGCAATGCCATTGAAATCTGGATGAGTAAAAATTAATGACTACCACAGTCACTTTGAGAAAATATATGCTAYATACATCACAGAAAACAATACTGAATACTAGCAATACTAAATTTAATCTGACTTACGGAGGAAGAAATTTGCAYGCTATTCCTTCAGGATCACTACATGTTTTAAAACAGGGATTAGCACAAGGTTCGTATCTCCATTCACAAATCCTTCTGTAAGGCACAGAAGCACTGAGTTCTAAGAAATAAGCAAAAAGTATCACTTATGCACTGTGTAGTCAATAAACCATGCATTTTTTGTCTTTTCTACAATGTAGCTTGGAATGTGAAGAAAAATTAAAWGCTGAAAACAATGCTCTGAAATTCTCAAAAATTTCCAAAGAAATGAGATTTTGTTGATTTGATTAAGTATTTCAAATTCAACAAAGTTAAAATATATTGAAGCCCCGAAGGTACAAACAGACACTCATTTTTCACAAAATATTTTGTTTAAAAAATTTAAAAAATAATTAARCATAGCTCAGGTACTATTGGTTTCAGGAGCAACAAAATTACATCATTTGTTTATTAGACTGGATAATCTGTTGCTCAAAAACAAGACATTAATATGCATATTTTTCTGACATTTTTCTGACATTGAAGGAATTAATGACAAAAATGTAGTCCAAAGATGAAGTGATCTTCAGGAAAAAGGAAAAAGGAAAAAATTGGAAATAATATCTGGAGGTGGGATGGAAGAGGACAGGATAGTAATCCAAAGTAGGACATGTTTTTGTTCCTATTGCTGATGAAAGCAAATCCACCTGAAGGCTGCTTACGAATAGACACATTTTACTTATTCTTGGGGATAATACAAAACTTACCTTCAATACTAAAGCTGCTTAAATGCTTGAATTCTTCTGAATTATCATACTTGGCAACTTTAACACCGGATGGTGTGAGAATGATGAAAAAGCCCTTTTTACTGTGCATTTCGAAGGCACTGAAGCCTGCTCTCCAGAGGCCTTGGTGGTGGAAGAAGGAGGCTTGTCTCCGAAAGGCGGCGCCTGCTTGCCACTGCTCCAGCCCAACGCTCTCGTCCTCGTACACATACAGAAAGTAGTTTGGTCTTTCCGCAGACTCGAGGGAAACAAGAGAAAGAGCTGCCGCCAACAAAATTTAAGGCTGTTATCAGTGAGTTTTCACAGAAAAAAACACTAAAAGCAAGATAAAATGCACATTGGTTGTTAATCAGCTCCTTTTAAACAGCTGCTTAAAAAAAAAAAAAAAAACACATTTATGTAGCATACAAAAGTTCAAATTTGTTCAAAGTTCCAATAACACAGTCCAGTCTCTACCAGAAAGGTTATCAGTCAAACTAAAACTGCATTCATACAACCAGCCTTCAATATAATTCAGAAGCAGTCTCAAATTTTGACATTGACCTTTAAGATTGTGACAGTTTCCTCTCAAACTCAGACAAAAGTCCAACAGTTTAACTGTTTCAACATTATGTTAATTAAGAAGACCATGTTCATTTTCTAAGAACAATCTTGACTTCACCTTGAGGTCAGTGTTTTATAAATACAATTTATAAATTTCCAGGAATACTATAAGAAAATCTGTACCCGTACACAAAATGTTTACTCAATCCTTGCCTAGAAACCAAAAGTGAAAAAATATTCTGAAAAAATCTATAWTTAAAAGAAGGCAGACTTTAGATTTGTCTGTTAATTTGAATAAGGTCTTTGAGTTTCTTTAATTTATCTAGATACTATCTCATCCCTTTTAGATATGAAAATACTTCGATCTGCCTAGCTACAATATATTTTACTTACATTACTTACATCTGTTAGAAAATTTCAAAAATTTCACAAAACTTCATTAATTTTTCTATCTTATACACTTTACTTTCCATTTTTAAAATATCTAAAAATCTAATTTCTAYACTGCTAATACACTTCCTACACTTCTGAATACAGTTCCAAATTTTTACAGTCCTTCAAGGTGGTTTTTTTTTTTGAGAATTTGGGATTTTTTCAACAAATTACACAACAGAACACAGTCCTCAGAAAGCAGCAGGGAAGTCTTTATTGGCTTCAGTGGCACAAACACAGCATGCAGCAAAACACAGAAAGAAAACTACTTAAACATATTTGGTTTTGGTTGTATACTTTGGATATGTCTCAGAAAAATGAAATACTGAGCTCAGAAATACCTGTTAGCTACAGCAAACTTTTCTCTACATTGGCTTTAGATGCCGCACAATAATCACACAGGAGACAGGCTGGAGTCCTAAGCTGAACATTTTATAATGCACTGAAAGTCCTTCAAAAGAAGATAGAGCAGCAAAGTCTCTACTGGAGACAATCATATTCCTGCATTCATCTTTAGCTACATATGCAAGTTTTCCTATATCAAGTTATACAGTCTAATTACATTTTTCTCACAAGGGAATTCTGTCCAACTTGCATTTTGTTTACATTTCTAAAATAATCTTTTAAACGGGAGTGTTAAAACTGGCAGCTAAATTTCCCTTTTTTTTTTCAAAAAAAAGTCATCATTCCTCCTCAAAACTAGAATGTTCACTTCCCACTTCTGGTTAAGATGCTTTGAAAAAATGATTTATATAGTTTGAAAAAATGAGTTGCCTTTAAAAATGTTGAGAATACTTACACAGATCTTTATCTTTGAAAAGTCCTGGAGTTATCATGAAGCTAAAAAATGCATTTCCATATGCTCCAGCTCTAGGTAAGGGAAATATCCTTCTGCTGGATATGTTAGCTCCTATAATGGTATCATTCTGCCCATAACTTGCTAAAATATACGGTCCTTCGCCAAGCCCTAAGAAAAATCAAATGTGAAAAAAATCATATTTGCATACAAAACCTAAGTCTTAGTCAACAGCATATAAAGCTTTAAATATTTCACCATACCTCAAATCAATGAAGTTTTGAACTTCAGCTMAATGCCTCAAAGTGTTATGCTGGAATATGCCTGTGTCTACCTGTTTAATATGCTCCCTTACTCTTTCATGTCCAGAATGAAAATAATCAAAGAGAGCATGAAAGAATGAGGATAGCCTTCTTCAGTGAGTGACATGTAAGAGAAAGTAATGCTGCTTCTTGATGGTGTCTAGTCTTATTCTAGTTCTTATTTCTTTACACTGGAAGATGCAGAACTAATGTGATTGTGCACAAATTGACACTGAATCTATAGCTTTCACATTATAAGGATGTGATTCCACTCTTGACAGCAATAATACTTAAGCATTTGCCTTGTTCATCCTCTCCCACAAACCATTTGCTTTTTTCTTCCTGTTCCAATTATGCCATCCCAAGAGATCCAGCTGAATAGTAACCAACTAACCAGACTAGTAACCAGTCTGGTTCACAATACATTCATCCAAAAAATCATGCAAATATGAATGGCAACTGCTTCCAACCGTAGCCCTGCCCAAATATTTGCCAAAAAATACCCGCACTTCCCACAGTAATAGTAAGATCACTCAGCATAATGAGGCCCCTGACTTCTATCCATTAAAAGTACAAGTCAAAAGAGAGCTAGAAAAAAAACAAATGATTAATTCAATTGGATTCTTATTTGAACCAGAGCAATCTCTTTTGCATACGCTCTATTTCAGAAAGAAAAACAAAAAGTAAGCTTCAGAAGTCAAACCTAGAAGATAATAATTCTGTGTAAGAAAGTATTTTTCTATTTTTGCTAAAAATAACAGCAAATTAATTATTAATTCAGTCTCATTAAAGATTAAATATATTTACACTGTTCATTTTTGAAGAAAAGTTTTGAAGTTTCACAATACCAAGAACAGTTAGTTCAATGAAGTATAAAATAAAATGGTAATAGCCACCTAAAAAAACATGCAAGATGAACACTAATCTGTCAGTATTTGAATCCCATACTAATGTAGCAGTGCCTCTCTATACTTATATGACAAACCTCTTGCAATACATGATGCACATGAATATGGCACAAAGAATTTTTAGATATCCATAATTGAACTGCATAGAAGAAAGAACTCACTTCTGAGGAATTATTCAATTTTTTCACTTTCACACACACAACAATATACGTGACAAGATATTTTGAATCACTTTGAGCCATTCTTTTTCCTTTCAATGGTCTGTGAAACTATCTCAGTATCAATGAATTAGGACAAAACTCAAAAAGTTAACAATAGGAGCAACAGTGGGCTGCCCAGTCATCAACTAAATCTTTCATCCTCCTTCATCGTGTTTGTTTTGACATCCTGCATCAACAATACCCTGTTTTCATTTATTTTATATTGCGGTATTACACCAGCAAACTCCTACAAATTGATTTCTGTATRAGGGCAGTGGTAAAAAGTATTTTTGTCCTGTGGAATTCAAGATTACATAGACTGTAGGCATTTGCTTCCAGTGAAGTTTTACAGTCTCCAGATAGGCAGAAGACCTTTTTGTGGATCAGAGGTCAGGTTACAAAAAAAAATCAGTATAAGASCATAATGATATGGGCAAGAAATGGGCAAGAAAATATTGCTGAATGACATACAATACTCTGGGCTCATGCAAGTCATCACTCCTTTCTAATGGACTTGAATGTTCAGTGAACTCGGGCCCTGTGACTATGTAATCCTACCCTGGGGAACTGGGAGCAACGAGGCAATCTCCAGCATCGCTAGCAGCTAACAAAAAGTCTTCTCAGCATAATCCATGAGGCATTTTATTTTTGGATTGTAAGGCATCGTGTTTCATCAGAGATGCCAGATGCGTGGCTTTGCTTACAGCTAGGATGCTTGTTTCCATGCAAGCACTGCCTCTGCACACGCAGCAGAAAGAGCCGTGGGACTGGCTTTGCCAACATATCCAGAACAGGAACACTGAAAAATCATCCTGACCCATTATAGAAAGAAATTAACAAACTATATGTTCTTCCAAGGTTAGTTTGAGTAAACTGATTTAAAAGAACTGCCTATTGGGATGAGTTTTTTAAATCATTTTTTCTTCTTTTTAAAAAAAAAAAAAATTATTTGGGAGAGAAAGACTGATCACAAATTAACATACTGCAGAAAAACAAATGTATTTCGAAGATCCCTTTCCTACTTTACAGCAAACAATGTCCAAACAACTAGCACAGAGTGCATCAGGTGATATGCTACAAAATATGGATACTAAGTGCAACAAGCTATATAAAAATGAGGATGAATGAGACATACATACCTTGATTGTAATATTCACAGTCATAAGCTAAAAGAAATAAAAATATGCATATTATCATTAAAATGTAGCAGCAGAATTCATGTGTGCCAGTACACTGAGATCCTAAAAAGGTAAAATGCATATGTAATGTAATGCAATGTAATGCAATGTAATGCAATATCCGGTGACAGGACAAGGGGCAATGGGTACAAGTTGCAACCCAGGCAGTTCCATCTCCACATGAGGAGGAACTTCTTCACTGTGAGGGTGMCAGAGCCCTGGCACAGGCTGCCCAGGGAGGCTGTGGAGTCTCCTTCTCTGGAGATCTTCCAAAGCCGCCTGGATGCCRCCCTGTGCCCCRTGCTCTGGGTGTCCCTGCTGGAGCAGGGGGTTTGGACTAGATGATCTCTGGAAGTCCCTTCCAACCTCAACCCTTCTGGGATTCTGTGGTTAACACAATAGTATATAATATAATACAATAAAATATATCTTCTTAATGTATTTTAATTAGTGACTATCTCCTTAGGCTTTTATTCAGCGATATACAGCTGTATTTAGCTAAGTGTTCTAGGACAGCAGACCTGAAGTACTAATTTTTCTATAGTTGAAAACTGATGTCATTATGAATTAAAAGTAAACTGCACTAAACCTGCTTGAAATCCCACACAGCATTTTGAAATTTCCTCAAATGTCCTATACATTTTAAGCAACCTCCACACTTAGATATCCTGAACCCAGCTAGTATTCTTCAGTAATAAGTCAAATGGAGGTGTCTAAGACCAGTAAGACCACAAGTTGAAAATGTGAAAAAGTACATACATTATCCAACCACTTCTATCTTGTTTTAAGGCATTTGTAATACGGGACAGCTAAAGACCAAAGCTACCCCTTTCTCTGGAGGAGCTCGGAGCAGGTACATACCACAGAGCGCAGGAGACCGCCAGTGAATTGCAGCTCCTTGCTGGCAACACTTGTGAGCRTAAGCTGCAATGCTGGTGCACAAGCATTCACAGTCCCCTCCAAGATTGCAGTTACACGTATCTGTATGACAATTTTTGACAAAAGAAGTGACATCAATCTGGGGAGAAAATAAGAGAGACCAAGTGAATCAACTGCACGACCTGTACAAATTCCTGTGGTTGGGGTTTCAGCAGGAGTGCAACCCCTAGAAGGACTGACTGAAAAGACAACACAAAAATACCACTTTTTCTAAGGCTTGTATATATTTCTTATAAAAGGTACACTTGTAGTGATCAGCTTGTTATATACCTATAATACAAACCAAGATAACATTTTATTAATTGGATGTTAATAAATACTACTGTCAATAAACTTGCTATGTATTGATTCTGAAGTTTACTGAAGATGGTAATTCTGTTTTTATGAAGCAGATACTGCCACCTAGAGTCATCCTGTTAGTTTTGCATGAATAACAATGAGAGCTGCAAGGGGCCAAGTATTTTATTTTACTTCAAATATATATATCTGAATGAAAATGAATTTGTTATTTTGGTCATGTCTGGTGACATTCTGCATTTCTTTAAGATTTAAGATTTTAAGATTTAAGACTCTTTCCTCCATATTAGCTCATATTAGCTCAAAAATCCACCTTCTAGATTTAAAGTCCTATCAAAAATCAAAAATCTGTAAGAAATAGATACATTATTTTCTATTTCTAAACATATTCTCTGTAATGTTAAACAATATTTTCAAACGCATGTTCTTACTGAACAAACAGTTATGTTTTCACACTATTATTCTTCAATTTAGCGTCAGCTTTTGAGTCTAATTTAGTTSAGCTTCAGAAGACACGAGTGGCTCAGCAGCCCTACGGAATTAACACAGCAGTAGCAAAGCAGCGCCTCACAAGCACTGAGAAAACTCCTCACCTGGCAGCTGCTGGAAGCTGCTGGAAGCTGGCAAGGATAACAGTTTTTTATTTTCTGTGTTTTGTGCCTGAAGTGGGGAGAGACGCCATTTTGCCTGCCTACTTTTCCTTTCTTCGTTCTTRTTAAGGTGGAGCTAGCACTGGGGTGGGCAGAGCAGCTTGCTCAGCGGCATCGCAGCCACCAGCAAGGCAAGCCTGMGCTCGAGAGCGCTGCTCCAAGTGCCTACCACCCACCCAGGCTTTTGGTGCCCCATTGCCCATCCCTGCTTGGACTTTTTCCCCTGGCATCTACTTTCCCACCTGTGCAGCCAGGAGCAAAACGGATCTCCTTGACAGCAGCATCCTAAGGGCTACATTTTCACACACTGCTTAATAGTTTGTAAAAAAACCTGGAAGTCCTTTGCTTTGCAGACTGTTCCAGACAAGATGGATATGCATCTGTGAAAAACCTGCCAACTGAACATCATGCTTTGCACCTGACACGAATTTCTTAACAATTACGCTAAATCCTTGGCATAATGTTCTAAAATTCTAATCATGAAAGAGGCAAGATAAGGAAAATAATGAAAGTTCAAGAGAAAGAAATCTTTCTTCATACATTGGTATAATATGGCTCCTTAAAACTCTCAAAAGGTTTATTTATTGCTTTCCACTTTGAAAATACACTCATCACTGTGTTCTCAGGCACACGCTCAAAAAATTCTTAACATACTAACTAAAGTCAACACTAATAAATCTCCCAGATTAAGCTACTACATCTTCCTCTCCAGGCAAATTCCTAACCATATTGATATCAAACTTCAGTCCTGAAAGTTAGGAGGTTTAGCTGTGACATCTAATGATCTTTATATTCACAGTCAGAAAAAAAAAGGACTGTGTCAAGAGAGTCATGTCAGTTCTTGCTCACAAGGGTGTTAAAAAAAAAAGCACCATTGGTAACTAAATTCCTTTGGGAGGCTAAAATCAGAAATAGGCAAAAATGCAATGTCTTACTTGATAAAAGGTGTCCAAAAGTGGAAGAAAAGATTAGAACACAAGCTATTATCATCCCCACCTTGTACAGATTGATCTTAAAAACATTCCTGTAATTCAGGTCCCAAGCTCAGCGGAATATGGGGAAAACAAGGACACCATGCCTCAGAGGTTTTCTTGATGAACAGAAATGGTAAGCTGCCAGCCAATTAAAAATACTAATAGCTCTTACATCCAAATCATACTCTCTAAGATTTCTTTCTACATTGAGAAAAAGAGTTAACAAAATAAAGCCACACAAGATAAGATGTAGGCATTTTACACAAATGTTTAGTTTAGAATTTCACAGTACATACAAAAGCCACAAAAAGTTGATAACCTGTGTAAATAGGAGATATAAATAAAAGAAACCTAAAGAGAACAGAACCTTGGCTATCCACTCCAGTACCTCATGGCTCCCAGTTATCACTACAATGTTTGGGCTGCAGTCTTGAAGGGAACAAGGAGCTCTGCACAAACACAGCCCACCCACACTCACAGGGCTGCACTTGGTGTCCTCCTTGATATTCCCACTGAGGGGAACAGCAAGAAGAAATTCATCACTGGATCTCTGACATTCTTCTACATGACAACAAATCTTGGATGTTTAATAAACTTACCACATTGCGACAAGGTGCAAAAACATCACTGTATAAAATTGAGCATTCCTTTTTGGCATAAGGGAACTTGCTCTGATGCACCTCACATGGTCTTAGTGTTTCGTTTGGGCTCTTGCACTGAAAAAAACAAAGCAAACGAAAACCCCACAAACATTTTAAACAAAGAGGTTTACAGTGGACTCAGGTACACTATACATACTATAGAATTCAATACTTATATTCAGAAAACAACTATGCTTAAATGCTATCTACTTTATCTGCACCCCTCTTTGCCTGATTTGTTGTTTTAATTTAAAACACTTGCAAAAAAAAAGAAAAAGAATTGGTGTGTTTTGTTCTTAAGTACTCAAGTGTTCCTGCTGTCTGCTCAGCGCATGCAGACAAAATGKTTTTTTTTGTGACATATCCTAATCATTACCAGAGCAACCAAGTGTAACATCACAAACAAACATATGGCCAAATCTGTCCCTGGTGCTTTTGTGCTGACTTTAAATGGAGTCACACTAGAGACAACTTTAGCCCTGTGAGTTCAAATAAAGCAGCAGCAGTAGGAACGAACTCACTCATAAAAAACAGAGTCAAAGATTATGGTGATAACTCAGAAACRGCTGAGATGCAACTCCCTCTCTCTAAGCCTGTTTTCAAGAAGAAGAACAAATGAACAAAAACATGTAATAAAATGACACTCAGCTTGCAAAAGGCAARTTCATAATCTCAGCGCAGAGGAGAWGGCCAGCAAGCAGCAGTGATGGATCAGGAGGCAGCGTGTCCCGGTGCACCCTCTGCTCGAGGACAGCCCTTCATTTACATTACTTTCCTCCACAGGGGCTCTGACAGCACCCCAGGGGAATGTGCTGCTATGTCCAGGGCAGAAGCCATGGAAACATCCCATACTGAACAGTGCCAACACCAGCACATTTTCTAGTAGTATAGTTAGGGTCTAGGCCTCCAGCTAGAACATATTCCTTTATAGTACATATTTCTATATACAGCATATCTGGCTGAATGAGGTTTGCCTACTGTAGCCAGAATGCTCTCAGGATTGCTCTGGCAGCTACAGAGATCATAGGATTATGTGATATTTTACAAAAATCTATGTCTGCAAAAAGGCAAGTGCAAGTTTGGGCTGTTTAATCAGAGGTCATAAAATCCTGCAAGTTAGTATTAGGATTCAAATCTTGCAAATACTGTGCCTCTTTTTAAGATCAGACATTGAACTGGTAAAACTCAAGAAACATATTAGTGGATTGAAACTTATGCTGAAATGTTTCTCCTTTCCATGAAAGCAAGCTACATCCCAGTCATACTTGCTTCTTCAAATATTTCTTCTAAAAAGGAAAGGCAAAAAAAGGTTTTTTATGTGCCATCTTCCAGACGAGTGGCATAACCTCCAAACTACTCATTGCCCTTGATTGCCCTTGCCAACCTAGACATTTCATGTGGAGCACAATTTATCCAAACAGTGATATTAAGGGAGATCATCCAGGAACTCAAAACATTCTCCCAAAGCACAGCAGATATCATATTCTTCATGAGGGGAGAGCGTTTGGTTCAATTTCCTATTCCGAGTCAGGGAGAGAAYAGATTATAAGCAAAGTCTCCCAGACATCTTCCTAGGAGAGTATTCAGCAAGTATTGATTTATCAGGAGGTTCACAGAGGTATAAAACCTTTTGGCTGTACAAATTAAAAAAATACCCATACTCCTATGTTACTAAACACAGTTGTGGTCACTCATTCTCTACAGCCTCTTCACTCCTACTCTGAAATCCAGTTTCTGCACTGATGTGCCCATCAGGGTTGAGCTTTTTCTGTCACATCACCTCACTGCCACTTGCTGTTTTGCCTTTTTTTTTTTCTATATTAGAGATTACAAATGAATAAAAAACTGATTGATAATGAGTCTTAGTTTTATTACTTCCCTATCTCAATTTATCTCCCACATACTGAAGATTTTTAGACTTGCACTACGGAGAAAGCCCCCCACCCTCTTGCATTCATTTGAAATCAGGTAAATTCTGAGATTTGAGAATTCTGATTCTGCCAGAATTCAGATTCTTTTTTTTTTCTATTAGTAATATCCAGATGCCTTAAATAACAGATGAGAAATTACTTCTTTTTTTTTTTAATTGGACATAATCAAAAACAGCAGAAACAATATATATAAATTTGGAGAAAATTTGCACCTAGAGACCAATAATGATTATTTTGTGCAGGGAAAGAATATATTCTTCCCAAAAGACTAGTTGGTTTCATTTAAACTCAGTATTACACATTTGCTACAATAAAAAAAGTTATTACCACATCTGATAYGTACAGATAAGAAAATTCAAACGACCTACTATATACTGGCAGTCAATTTTGAAAATTCCTGTTCTTCATGCATATGCATTTTTTTTTTTATCATACATGAGACTTACCGGTCCTAACACCCAGCTGTCTCCAAACACCTGTGCATTTCTCACCTCCATGTTGTTTGATGTAGTCAAATCATTTGAAGTGTATTTGTCAAAATTTCCACACAAACCTGCCAGTCTACCCTAAAAACAAAGGAAGATTGTTAACATAGAGTGGTGGTCAATAATCTGCATGCGCTATAAATGTTAAGCAAACATTCATAAACAAAACGGGTAAGTGCAACTCTGACTCATACTTTGAAAATATCTGATATCCTGCTGTTCTTATAGTGCCATACTGCAAGTAAATTTTTTTTTTTTTTTTTTTCTGAGAGCTTAGTGCTGTGTCCAATACAAAAGTGAAAAGTTCAGGTGAATTACCTCTGTGAAGCCTGACTAGTTCTTGTCATTGAGACTTGTTCCCTTTAATTTTACAAGAGCAGGAGCTTTCATAACAGCAGTTATCAAAGAGCCAGCTGCAACATTCTTACACCAGGGAATGTGCTGCTAATGAAAAAATATATGCACGTGCATGCATGCACACACACACAGAAAAGGTTATTGTTATATTGCAACTTTGACCCACACTTCAAAAAAGTTGACATTCTGCTGTCTAGAGTGATTTCTTCTCCTTCACCAGAAAGAGTGAATATGCACATTCATGGTTGAGACAAAGCAGAGCTGTTATCAAATCTGCATATAAGATTATTCTACCTAAAGCCTGAGGTATGAGGACAGATGATGGAAGGAAGAATTAGAGACAAGCAACTGGAAGAAGGAGCCCCATACATTCCTTGCATGGTCCTAAGCTTCTCACAATAAAACACTTCTGTGTTTTAGATGTCTAGATCATTTTCTCTTAATTGCTTTCCTATCTTAAACTCAAAATATATCTCCATCACTTCATCTCAGCAGCTTCTACTACATTTCAAGGTGCAGTTCCACAGTCAGTCTAATACAAGACTGATACAGACTGTGCCACAGAACTGCCCCTTTGCAGGTTGATTTGCAGGTTTGCTGTTGATTTCCTGCTTCTTAATTTTTCTGGTCGTATCAATGATGTATTCATGGATTCATAGTAAATATGTGGATAAGGGAAACTAATTTACACATATTCACACATATGCACTTCTTGGTGCCCCTGAATTTGAGTTACAGTCATATCACTGCATATCTAACAAGGCTGTAGTGCTCAGAACAACAGGGTAAATAAGCATGTAGGACCTATTCTTTCTCTCCAGGAATCCAGCCATGCATCACATTTTCAGTCTGTTCTTTTCTTCCCTGTGTGCATGCAGGTGAACAGCATGATAAAACAAYTAATGCTGCTAGGAATGTCTGTTATGAAACAAAGATTATTGCACTTTTTCCATAGGAGAGTATYTTGGTAACACTAAGAATTAGACATAATCTTAGCTTTTTATTTTGGCCTACCTTCCATCGAGGTCCAACTTTAACATGTATTGTTGTCTTCTTATCCCACAAAATCGTAATGTCCTGTTCTGGAAAGTGTATCACGGTATAATATCCAGCCTTCCAAAGCTGATAGTTAGATCTGCTTTCCTGTCTCCTTAAGGTCTTCTAACAGAAATGGATATTTATTAAGATCTAATATAGCAAATCTACAACCACAGTAAGCAAACCAGTTAGTAACATATTTTTCACTTTATCTTTAGCATACAACTGAATCAAAAGTTYTACAAGAGATGCTGTTTTGTATTTTGTCTTTTGGATCATTTCAAGTTTGCTTTGATTGCACTTTGCCTTCCCTTTCAAAACCAAGTGGAGAGAAACAAATGTCAATAAGCTTTGAGTCATTGAGACTTTTGATCAGGTTTCTTTGTAGAATTAAAAGAACTGAAAAAAAACACAGAATACTGGGAGCTGTAGCTTTATCTAAGCCTAAGTAYTTGTATTGTGCTAACTCAGACTGAGATGTTTTCCAAAACTATTCTCCTTAGAATTGCAACTTTGAAATGCTTATCTTAAAGAGCAATCCAAATAGGAAAGAAAGCAACTAACCTGCTTCTCAGAAGGTTCGCTAAAATAAATCTCAGTGTCTCCGACAGTGATGAAAACACTCTTTGAGCAAACAATATTGTTGTCAAAGCACTTCTTGTTCYGAGCAATTATAGATACATTTGAGTTATCTGTGCTCTGCAACATGAAAAAGAAATTGTTCTACTTACAAGTACAGTTGTGTTGTACAGTTGTGTTGCAGATACGTTCCAGCCTCAATGTCACAAAAGGATGAACAACCCACGGTTTTCACATTTTTGAATTTAAAACTTAACTTTAAAACTCAACTTGAAGAAAATCCGCCAAAMAAGGAACTACATTTTTGAATTCAAAGGTTAGCCCTCAGCCAGTTCAAACTTTGAAATTAAACATAAACAATCATTATGTTAACTCTCATTATTTTTCTTTCTTCTGAGAACATGATATTTGGAGGATCTGCCTACCTCTAAAATAAGACTCTGGTTTATGCTTTTAAAATGTGCTCATACATGGAATCTAATAGTTACTGCACACTTGTCAAAATCAAGACATGCTATAAAAAGAATCTTTTTTAAAAAAGTCTAGATACTTGAGATCAAGCTGTTACTACATTTTTAAAGTGAAGAAACCTACCATCTGTAAGTAGCAGGTAAAATAATTTCCATACTGCTATATCCATCAAAATTTGAAGAAACTTGAGTCAGATTAAAATTTGGGGGATTACGAATATTTTTCTTTCAGGTGATAATTTCTAACGTTTAGAAATATTGTCTCCTTTTTTTTGACTTGCTGGTCAAAATTTGACTTCTGGGTTCCATATACACCTCAAGGTGTGCCACAATATGATATATATACAGCACTTCCAGGTTAATCTACTCTTCCACACTGCTTCTCGTCTCCAAAATTCAGATTTATTCTGTTTTGTCTTCACAATCCTGTGTCTGTTGGCTCTCCAATCTATAAATTATTTTTGCATCCTCAGCTCATATAATCACTTCTGAGCTTTGACTGAGCATTATCTGTCCCTTTGCCTGCAGCTTCAGTGTCTCTTTCATACCCTGAAGCACATGCACCCTGCAATTCCCCTTGCTAGGACTGGTACTGGAAGGAAGGAGAGCAACCGTATTTTCAGAGTTAACAACACTCTACCACAAACAAAAGTAGAATCGAATTACTCTCATTATTTYTTCCTTATTTAAAATCTGCCTTTGGATTGTTTTCTATACCAAGCCTTGCAAGTCAATGAGCCAACAAGAATCCATAAGCTGAAAGGTTTGAGAGATGCRCCTTCATAACATAAACCAACAAGATTGTCTTTGAAGCCAGTATCATTTTKGAGCAAATACTGTCATTACAAGGCTGTGACAGATATGAAAGAAAGATTTCGGTAGTGACAAGTTCTGTATCCCAGACAAGCTGCTGCTTGGTTGCCCTTTGCCCAACAGGGCCCACGAGGCAGAGGATGCTACCACTTGGCATAGAAAACCCTCTGAACCACGTGTGAACAAATGTGATGAACGTGAGACATGGGAGACTGCCTGCAAGACAAATAGATGATAGCCTGGAAGACAAAGATTAAAGGTAGGTAAAATTAGGACTAGCAACTAAAGGTAAGTGGATGTAGGAGAAGTGCTCTCCGCTATACAGTAGTGGAGCTCAGATTAAAGGGAGTGGAAGCTTTAGGATACAGCAGTGTGCCATCTACTATAAAGTTGTTTAAATTGCACTCAACAGAATTGGTCACTACCTCTTTGGGGAGTGCACTGTGTTAATTAAGACAGACTTGCTGCTGGAGTCAGTCCCATCAATTATTGGAGTATATGAGACTAATTAATACAGAAAACACATATGGTTGGCTGAAAAGACAAAAGAYAATTTTCAGTGCCTCAAAAAAAGGGGTGACTCTAAATTACAGAAGTAATGTCTTCGATGAAAGAAGAGAGACTGACCTATGCCTTGTGAAAGGGAAAAAAAAAAAAGGGGGATAGCTAATTCAAACCAATTATTCCACAGTAAAACTACACCTTTTTTGGCAATGAAGACAAGTTCTTGGAGCAACATCATGTAGCTGTATTAGCTGTGCTAATTCAAACTGCTGCCGATGCCTTCTGACAGCCCAGGCCAATCACTTCAGCTTAACGGCATCAACAGACTAAGAGGCAGAAGTTTTTGTGTATGGTTGGGATTTGAGCCAAGGGCAAAAGTTGAGTAATATTTAAAGTTAATGCTGCAGTAAAGAGAAGCCTGGAGACAGAGAGAGTTTTGCTGACCAAAGCCAGAACAGGGACTCCCAAAGACATGTAAAGTACTTCCCTACTTGTAGAACTAAGTTGTTGGTGCTAAATTACTGAAAATGCTGCTTGGTGCAAACACAGAGACACATCCTTAGGAGTTCAGAAGAACTCAAAGTAAATCAAAAATTTTTAACCGAAGATTTGCATTAAAACCTGAGTTTCCTGTGAACTCTCATTTTTTTCCAATTAAATGTGAGAACTAACCTTAAATACAAAACACCACTACCATTACATGTCTCTCATGTATCAAAGCTTTCCAGATAAACTTTCATCAACGTTCACATCCTTGCTATTCTCTTTTGAGTAAAAATTCAGTCTTTTTCCACCCATACAGCACCAGTCAAATTCAAAGTTGATTCCTGCCAATGCTACAATGGTCTTCGAATYAGTCTGTAACTGTTATGTTTGCAGYCTCCGCTTCCAGTGGGGAGGAAATAACATGCAATTGAAACTTAGCACAGAASTATGGCTAATGCAGAAGGTAGAGAGGGACGATTTAGATCCCCACTTCATGCCTGGGTCAGAGAGTGAGGTCTTGGGCAAAACCCTAAAGTTCTTGGGTACTTTGACAGTATAAAAAATAATGATTAAGTTCTACATCATTACTTTGTATCAAGGCCATACTTAGGAGTAGGTCTAATGAATAATATTAGGTGCTTTTTGTGCTTTTTTTTTCTTTTTTTTTTTTTCTTTTTCCTTTAGCACAGCCTGCTTCCAAGGCAGAGCTGCTCTTTACCTTTTTAGGTAAAATGCACCCAACAGGGGATGTACTACAGTTTGTCATGTGAAACCTACTTACGCTGACAGAAGCTAGAAATAAAATGGTTTTCCCACTGCAAGAGTATCTTCCCACGTAAATTACCATATCCAGCTTGTTCCAACTTAATATCAGTTTCTTTGTGATAACATGGAGTTGCCAAGCAACAGGGAAGACACAGTCACAGAGCTGGGCAGTCAGTCAAAAACTCATTGTCAGTCCTGCTTCTCAGAACATTCTTTTTCTAGACTTTGCTGCACTTTTTTTCCATAGTTCTTCCTATCTTAAAAAAAGCAAAGCACTTATTTCCTTTTTATTTATTTATTTTTAGTAATGCTTGGGATTTTTTTTTTTGCTTTTTTTTTTWATAAACTTTCTATTTCTATAACCTGCTCAAAATTTTCTATTACTATCAACCAATATCACACGGTTATTATATCTGAAAGATGCAACCTTTGCAATCGGAAGACAATTGAAAAGTAACTGTACTTTTTTTGTCTTTTAGTATTTTATTAAAATCTCCCTTCACAGTCAGCATAAAGATTTCTCTTTTCCATTATTAGTATTCTGACTTCTCCTCTTTTTGTCTTTCATTCTCTACAATCTAYTGCCTTGCAAACTAGGGTGGTCACAGTAGAATTTAGGGACATACYGGGAGCTATAGCTATAGTAGTCTGATTTTCCTTTTATTTATATGACCCTTGAGAGCTGTTTAGGCATATACAGAAAGCTCCACAGCATAAACACACACACAAAAAAATATGGATTTAAGAAGCAGAAGATACTTATCCTTCCTATGTATTTTCAGAGAGGTGATGCCATTAGTTTTCAGGAAAATTTATGGAATTTCAGAATTAGTTGGCTTTTTTTTTTCATTTTGCTATTAGTTCCTTCTGAAGGAACGTGAAAGTTTAAATGTGTGGCTTTGCAAATCTATTATTTGCAGCAGTCAAGTTTTGTAGCCCAGATTTATTGAGCATCTAAGTATAAATATTTAAGTCTTTTTAGAGAGTGGACAAAGTACTGGGCTCCCAAAACAATCTTGCCCTCTTAGTTTTTTGTGCCATTTTATAGAGGGGTTGATTTCCAGGTAATCAGTGTAAATATATGAATTATTCAAACCTCATTCACAATGTGCACCACAAAGAACCTCTTGAAGGCTCTCCTTTTTGCAAGTCTCATTTTTTCTCCTGTACCATTTTGAAACAATGCACACACACTCTGCAGAGGTTCATTTTAAACCCTGCTTTTGCATGCTGTACAAAACTGGACTCTYGAAACACTTCCCCAAAGTCACTCAGACACAGGAGCTGTGCGCGCTGTCGTTTGGAGTCAGCAGATGGCACTGATACACGCCGCCTCAGCTTGGGAAGAAATCCAAATGGGAGCTGGAATACAACGGTATTAAAAGATACCAGGCGATCATCTTACCAGAGAGAGCAGTGCTGAAGGAACAGAGAAAGGAAGGGCAATCTTACTTATTCTACTGATGCAATGCAAGTATTTTAAAATACATGTTTAGGAAACAAGAGTCTAAAAGCAAAAGATACTTCACAGTCCCACAAACACACACTTTTCCTTACAGTGCTCTACAGCGTGGCAGATTAAATGATTTTTTTGACTCAAAATAAAGCAAGGAAACTTGCAGCAAACCTACAAAGATAAGACACATTACTAATACTGAAGTACTCTTGAGTATACTTGGAGGAGAGCAATATCTTCGAGTACAATCACTAAAGCAAATTCAAAAGAACATTATTCCAGCTACTGACTCACCCTCAAACTACTTCCAGATGTCTGCTAATGCACTCCTGATAACTCTCCCCTATTTCTTTAAAAGTGTCTTCCCAAAATTACATACCTCAGGCAGACTAAATGCTTGGCCACCTAGAGAAAGATCCAGTATGGTTATTTATGTGCATATACACGAGTTATAGGAAAAACAAGAATAAAATCTTAAGTCAGATTTTATTATAGACAGATTTTTGGAGTAGATTTTATGACAGGTAAGAGTTGTTGGCTGTTTCATATTTTATCACTAATATTTTTAAAATCAAATAGGGGTCTTTATAATCCAACGCTGAAAAAGCTAAAACTGAAAACTGCAT